CCTAATGTCCCCAGAACACTGGGCTAAGAGTTAATACCCAGGTCCTAGCCTTGGTCCATCCTCATGGGACCTCTGAGCCAACTGGCTAGCCTTTACTTGGGGTCAGGGTAAAAAGATGCTAAATTCCTATTGTACCAGTATTTATATGGACAAGTTCTAGGACAGAGGTCAGCACACATTTTCTATGAAGGACCAGGTAGCAAATAGTTTCAATTATTCGGGCCACAGGGTCTCTGTTCTAGCTACTCAGTTCTGCTGTTTTAGCACAAGGGTGGCCACTGACAATAAGTAAGTGAATTAGGGGATAGTAGTGTATCAATAAAACTTTATTTACAAAAACACAGAGGCATGACACAACTAATTTAAGAGTCTTTCATAAGTATATTTTATAACTGTAAACTTTAACTATAAGAAAAAACAGAGAGCCAGTTGGTGTCTGGGCCATAGTTTGCTGAACACTGCTCTAGAACAGTTAGAAACTGGCTTCTTAGAGCTCTTTGTGCCTAGAGAGAAGCCAGTTTTACCTACATTGTATTTTCAAAAATCTGAATTCCCGCCACCCTTGTCTGTCTTCACAGATCAACTTCCAGCCAGACTCAACCAGGCACGGGCTGGGTCCAGTTCTGACCTGAGCACGGTTCTCTTTTTCCTCATGTGACTTCTGGGAAGGAGCTGCCTCACCTGGGTCAAAGGAAGGAGGATGAAGCACTCCCTGCTGGCCTCTGTGTGGAGCACCCTCTCCTCTCCTCACCTGGCTCTCTCGGCAAACTCCATGCTAGGCACGCTGCTTCCTGGGATTCAAGTATGCGACCAGAACACAGGAGGAAAGAAGCCCCAGGAGACCTGTCCCCATCTGTCATCTTGACATGAGACTCTGAGACTAGACATCTTCCATCACAATGACCCATATTAAACACAAGCCCCCAAAGCAAAAGAATGGGTTGAGTTTGCTGCCTGGATTGAGATGGGCCCTTCTCAGGGTTTACAGGTGTCACGTGATCATGTTCGGCATGGGGTTTCTGCACCCGCATTGGCTGTAGCCACTTCGGTCAGTCTGCCTTCCAGAGGAGGGAAGCAGACCTTTCCAGCAGGTCTATGGGCTGCAGCTTGAACAGACAATCAGGAGGGAAATTGGAAGGATCAAGCAGCTTTTTAAGTGTTTAAATATTTTGCTTTACTAACGTGCTGATCTGCACTAACTTGTCTTTGCAAAAGGAACCGCTTCTGCAGTGCGCTGCCGTGGGGGTCTCTGAAGGCCTTCCTCGCTGTCAGCCCGCTGCCCTGGACTTCAGGCAGCAGTGTTCGTCTCTGCCCAGTTGCCTGGTTTTCCAACTCGGGGCCAGGGCAGGCGCTGGAAGCCACGTGGAAGTGTTTGGGCAGGAAGGTGGAAGCTGTTGTCACTGAGGTGGGGTCAGCCTTCCTGTCTGCTGGCGGCTCTCTGGGCTTATAGGTTCACAGTGCTGCTTCTGGCGGACTTGGGTTTTCTCTTTGGTGGTTTCTGGAGTATTAATACTTTATCTGCAGAGAACCTCTTACTTTCTTTTCTCCTTCAGGGACTGTGAATGACAGAAGGAGCTCGGTGAACTAGAAGTCCAGCGTTGTCTGGATTACTGGTTTATAAGCAATAATTTTATCTGAGCACACCTCTGAAATTGCTTTTATTGACTTACCTCTCAATTGAAAGATTTCTTTTTTGAAGGGTCAAGACCATGAACTGAAAAATGTGTTGGCCTTTTTGTGGGACCAGATTTTTAAGATAAAAAAATAAATACTTCTGTCAACATATGTAAGGGTGAATGTGTTTTTGGCAGCATGGCTGCTAAACTATCCAGGATGCCACAGCTAGCCTCTCAGCCACCTTTCTCTATGTCTAGACTTAAAGTCCAGCCACATGGTGTCAGATTGGCCAAAGTGAGGAAATTTGCCCCTACTGCCCCAAAGCAATCATTAACTTCTCTCTCCTGCATCCAGAAGAGTACAGTCCTTGGGTGATGTGAAAATAGTTGCTTGAATCACATTTTCTGGGGCTTAATTCTCTTCTGGAACCTCAGGTGATATAGGCTATGCTAGAGAGCTTGGCCCCTTGCCTTCTGTCTCCTAACCACCTGAGCTTGCAAGCTGATCATTCCCAGTTATGCCTTCAGATGAGACCCCAGGCCTGGCCAATACCTTGTAGCCTGCAAAGGACCCAGCTAAGCTGTGCCCGGTCTCCTGACCCATAGGAACAGGATAGTAAATGTGTTGTTTTAAGTTGGTAAGTTTGGTAATATTGTTATGCAGCAATAGGAAACTAATATAATTGAGCAAAGAGTGAATCTGGACAGATTTAATGGCTGTGTGGCCTTGGGAGGTCACTTAACATGCTCCTTTGGGCCTTGCTATCCCCTTGACAATGACAGTAGTTATCGCTGTATAATGTTTACTCTCTGCTAGGCACTGTCCTGTATAGGCACTTAACCTGTAAGACTCATTTCATCATCATAGCAGCCCTATGAGGTAGATACTTGTCTTAGTCCGTTTAGGCTGCTATGACAATAGCATAGCCTGGGTGGCTTACAGACAACAGACAATGATAGCTCACAGTTCTGGAGGCAGGGAAGTCCAAGATCAAGGGGCTGGCAGATTCGGTGTCTGAGAAGGCTGTCTTCTGGCTCTAACCTCACACGGTGGAAGGGGCGAAAGAGCCCTCTGGGTCCATCGATGAGGGCTCCACCCCCATGACACAGCTCCCCAAAGCCCCACCTCCAGACACCATCACACTGGGGATTAGGTTTCAACATGAATTTGGGGGCACACAAACATTGTCTATGGCAGTTCTCATTCCTGTTATGAAGACGATGAGACAGAAGCACAGTGAGATTGTAATTTGCCCAAAGTTACATGGTGGGGAAGTGGCAGAGCTGGGACCCGCTGGCTTTGTCCATGCTTTTAGTCAAGGTGGTCTACGTCTTGCACAGTGCTGCCTACAGGGCCTGCTTAATGCTCAAGACCTGCTTGATGCATGGAAGTCCCCATTCCTCCCACGTGGACTGAGAAAGCCATCGTGTGGCAAGTATGAATGACAGCCCAAAGGGTGACCGGAAGCTGCTATAATGCATCATGGGCATGCCAAAGCTGCTAATAGCTGTTGATTTCTCCAAGCTGGAGTGAGAAAGATACCATGCTCTGGGCAGAGTGGACTAGAGTAGGGAAAAGGCCAAATTTTCCTCACCACAGCTTGAATGTAGACACTTTAATAGTTTCCTCCTACTCAGAGATAGAATGCAGACATGAAAACTGAAAACAAATATTACCATTGTCTGTAATATTGTCATAGCAAAACATTGGAAGTATCCTGTCTATATTAGCATCTATTGCATGTAATACCCTAAAACTTAGCAGCTTGAAACAACACATTCGTTATCTCAGTTTCTATGGGTCAGGAATCTGGGTGGGTGCAGCTCAGCTGGGTCCTCTGTCTCAGCGCCTCTCACAGGCTGCAGTCAAGGTGTCAGCTGAGGCTGCAGTGTCATCTTAAGGCTGTACAGGGAGAGGATCTACTTCCAAGCTCGCTCACGTGGTTCTTGGCAGGATTCTGTTCCTCATGGCTGGTGGGTAAAGGTCACTGGTATTTTCTTGCCACATGGGCCTCTGTACAGTTCACAAGCTGGCAGTTGCTTCATCAAAGTGGGCAAGTGCAGGAGTGCAGCAAGACAGCAGCTGTAGTCTCAGTCTCAGAAGGGATCCCATTACCTTTGCTGGATCTACTGAGTAGAGGCAGTTGCGGGTCCCGCCCACAATAAGGGGAGGGCATCACACCAGGGCGTGGATACCAGTAGGCAGGGATGGGTGAGGGGCAGCTTACAAGTGTGCCTATGCGTTAGTTTCCCTAACTAACTGCTGTAACAAACTACCATACACTGGGTAGCCTAAAACAACAGCAATGTGTCCTCTCCTAGTTCTGGAAGCTAGAAGTCTGAAATCAAGATGTCAGTAGGGCCATGATCCTTCCAAAGGACCTAGGCCACAATCCTTGCCTCTTCAAGCTTCTGGTGGCCCCAAGCATTCCTTGGCTTGTGGCAGCATAACTCCAATCTCTGCCCCTACCCTCACGTGGCCTCCTCCCTGTGTCTCTATGTGTGGCCTCCCCTTTCTCATTTAGGACCCAGGCTAAATCCAGATAAGGTCATGTTCACAGGTATTGGGGTTAGGACTTGAGTATATCTTTTGAGGGGACACAATTCAACCCACGATGTCTACCTGCTACAATGTCCATTGGTAAGGGAGGGGTTATATAAATTTAGGGACATCCAGTGAAATATTTGCTCTCTGGGGGAAACAAAGTATGAAAAAGCTCTTAGCTGTAATCCCAAAGCAGGACTTTGGGAGGGTGAGACGGAAGTATTGCTTGAGGCCAGGAGTTGGAGACCAGCCTGAGGAACCCAGTGAGACCCCATCTCAACAAAAACTAGAAAAATTAGCTAGGTATGGAGGGGTGTGACTATAGTGCCAGCTACTTAGGAGGCTGAGGCCGGAGGCTCCCTTGAGCCCAGGAGTTTGAGGCTGTAGTGATCTATGATTATGCCACCACACTCCAGCCTGGGCAACAGAGTAAGACCCTGTCTCAAACAAACCCCAAAACAAACAGATCTCTTTATATATTGATAAAGAATAAGAAATGTGTAATCCTAGCACTCTGGGAAGCCGAGGCAGGAGGATTGCTCGAGGTCAGGAGTTCAAGACCAGCCTGAGCAAGAGTGAGACCCCATCTCTACTAAAAATAGAAAGAAATTAGCTGGACAAATGAATATATATAAAATTAGCTGGGCATGGTGGCACATGCCTGTAGTTCCAGCTACTCAGGAGGCTGAGGCAGAAGGATTGCTTGAGCCCAGGAGTTTGAGGTTGCTGTGAGCTAGGCTGACGCCACAGCACTCACTCTAGCCCGGGCAACAAAGTGAGACTCTGTCTCAAAAAAAAAAAAAAGGAAAGAAAAAACATAGAAATTATTTTTCTTTTTCAATATGGGCTTATTCTGTTTTACTCATCTGAAACCTTTTACTTACTATATTGTAACCAGTTCACCAGTCATTAAGTGTTCTTCTGTAACATGTCATGGTATCCCATTATATGAATAACCCATGATTTATTATGCAAGTCTCCTACTGCTGGACATTTAGGTCTTTCTAATTTTTTGCTATTAAAGTCGGGCATTGTAGGAAAACTTTGCAAGTTAGCCTTCAGAAACCCAACAAATCCAGTTAACCAGAACACCTGTCCTCTGAGCCTTCTGGTTAATGTGGTTTAGCTGATGGTGGGCAGAGTCCACCCCAGCCTAGGATTTGGCAGGCACTTGGCCTTAGCAACCTGGCGGTGGTAACTCCAGTCACTTGTTCTATTACCTGAGCTGCAGTGAGCAGGTGAGTACCTTGAATAACTCCTCTTTGGTGGCTGGTCCTGGGGTCACTGGGCTGGACACCACCTGGTTACAGAACAGGGTGACTGGTGGGCAATAGCACTGGGGATTCGAATGACCGCAGGCTAGGCTGAGCCCAGGCCAGCAGGGGACTCAGCCTCTTCCTTCCCAGAAGGGAGCTAGAGGCCTCCCCGAGGAGGACTAGTATAAGCAGTGCCTCCCTGCAGCAGGTCCCTGGGGGCTCTGGGGTGAGAGGGTCAAGGAGAGAGGAGCTGTGTTTGCTGTTCCTCCTGAAAATCTCAAGTAAGGCAGCACGGTGTGGAGGAAATCGAATGAGATTGGAACCCACTGAATTTCCTGCTGTGTGTCCTTAGGTGAGTGATTGTACCTCTTTGAGCCTCAATCTCCCCTTCTATAAAATGGACATAATCCTAGAACCTGCTTTGCAGTCTAGATCTTGCTTTACAGAATTGTTCAGAAGGGACTGGGGACAGAATGGGAAAATACAAGAGGAAGCAGCCAGCACAGTGTGGTTTGCAGCCAATGCAGGCTGCCCATGAGGTGCAGGTACTGGGAACTAAGGGAGATTTGGCAGGCCCAGGCAACAGGCAGTTCCCCTGGAGGGAGGAGCAAGGATGGGGACCTGAGCCCAGCCCCTGGTGTCGGGAGGAACACACTGGAGTGGGCTCCACAGGGACAGGTAGCATCAGAATAGGACTGGTGAGGCCATGAGCCCACCAGGGCCCAGGCAGGGACCCAGCAGGCCTGGGAACTCAAGGCAGGGTGACACAGACCTTGACCATGCTGGGGGACCTGGGAGCCTGCTGTGCTTACTGGTAGAGGTCAGTCAGTCTTTCACAGGGATACCTAAGGGAAACTGTGCCCTTCTTCTCCCAACTTTGTCCCCCCAACCCCAAATCCCAGGGATTGACCCAAATCTCTCCTGACTAATAGGTCTCAGGGCTGGCCCACACCGCAGCCTTGCCAGCACCACACTGGGGGTCAGCGCCGGAAGGGTGCACTGGCAGCTTCTGGTGCAGTTTCTTAGATGTTAAAACCAGGTTCCTCTTTGATAAAGATAAAACTGCCACTCATCCCTTCCTACCACCCAGGAGATGCAGAACCATCAGCCATAGGCCTGCTGGCCATTCTTTCTGGGTACTTACTGTCTTCCAAATGCAAGATCATAAAATTAAACATGATTTTTCAAACCTGGCACACCTTTCCCTCAGCCCTAGGGATTCCGACTTGCCTCCCCCTTTGAAAATGAATGATTCGATTAATGCCTTCAAGAACAGAGGGAGATTGGGGTCCAGCGAGGAGATGGAATGGCCATATTGTTACTGTGGAAATGAACATGGGACATGCACACAGCCAGGCTTAGTCCAAACGCTCGGTTCTCTCTATGGTCTTATCTCCATCCCATTTGGGGAAGCCACGAGCTTGTGGGAAGGAAAGGCAGCGGACGGCACCGCTATTTCACGAGTGAACAAACTGGAGGCCAGAGTGCCTTATCCGGGGCCGCACGACCACCAGGAAAACAAAGGCATCCCCTCACCTCCTCCACGCGTCTCTGACGGGGCTGGGAAGTGACACCCCGCTTCAGTCTGGTGGGCGATGGGTCAGAACTTAGGAGTTTCAGGACTTTAGGGCTGGGCCAGCCCCAGAGGGACCCTGCAGACGCGGCTGGGTTGCGATCCCACGCGGCCACCTTGCAGCTGGGAGCCCTTGAGCGACGTGCTTCGTCTGCCACTTCCCGTTTGTGCAGAAGGAGCTAAGGAGCCCAGTTCGGTGGGCTGCTGGAGGCAGAAATCGCGTGGGCGCACGACCTTTAACCCGGGGCCGCCCCCATAAGCGCAGAAAAATCTGAGCCCGCGGCGCCCGGCCCCGCCCTCGGCCTGCCTGCCCCGCCCCCAGCCTGCCGGGCCCGCCCCCAGCCTGCCGGGCCCGCCCCCGGCCCATGCTGCGCAGGCTCCGCCCCCGGCTTCTTCCTGCGACGCCCGGCCCCGCCCCCGCCCCGCGCTGCGCAGGCTCCGCCCCTGGCTTCTTCCTGGGACGCTCGGCCCCGCCCCCGGCCCGTGCTGCGCAGGCTCCGCCCCTGGCTTCTTCCTGGGACGCCCGGCCCCGCCCCCGGCCCGTGCTGCGCAGGCTCCGCCCCCGGCTTCTTCTGCGACGCCCAGCCCCGCCCCCGGCCCGTGCGGCGCAGGCTCCGCCCCCGGCCTCTTCCCCAGCAACCGGCCCCGACCCCGGCATCCTCTTGCGACGCCCGGCCCCGCCCCCGGCCCGCTCCGCCCCCAGTCCGCGCGGCGCAGGCTCCGCCCCCGGCCTCTTCCCGCGGCGAGAGCGCCCCGCCTGGTCCGGCACGCTGGGCCTCGGCGGCGGCGGCGCGCGAAGGTAGGAGCCCGGCGGCGCGCGTGCACTGGGGGCGGGGCGGGCGCGCTCCTGGCGGAGGCGGCCGCGCGCCAGGGGGCGGGCTGGAGCAGTCGTCCCGGGACCTGGGGATGTCGCTGCGCCCCGCCGTTGCCCAGCAGCGGGCGGCCAGGAGAGCGCGCCTGGCGGGCTCCGCTGCGTCCCGCCGCGCATCCTGCCCGGGCTCTTGCGGGCTGTGGGGGCGGCGGGAGGCCGGGCCTGCCCGGGCACAGCGGCCTGCAGGGCTCGACCAGCCCCTCCGCCCCGCGCCGGGGTCCCCTGGCTCCACAGGGCAGAGCTGCGGTGGGAGGCCCGCCCGACGGTCGGAGCAAGCGGCAGATGCCTGCCTGCCTGCCTGCCTGCCTGCGGCCTCCCGTGTGCCAGGCCGGGCGCGGCCCTGCCCGCGCGGGGTGCTGCTCTGTCTTCATTGGAGCCTGCCCAGTCCAAAGTATCTCCATTGTACGGATGAGGAAACTGAGGCCCAGAGCGGCCAATTGGGTTGTCCAGGATGGCACGGCCAGCAGGGGCTGTGCAGGGGTTTGGGCCCGCCACCCCTTGGGTTTCTCAAAAATGGGGCCCGAGGCCCCACTTGCCAGTCAGCGCCTCTGGAGTTGTCATTTTGAATGAGCTTCCTTGTGATTTTTACATAAACCCAAGTCTGAGTCTGCTCCGCCCCGCCCCCGTGACCGGGTCGCCCAGTTCCCAGACTTGTGTGGGGGAGGGGACCTTGAGGGTACCATCTGTCTGTTTACATCTGGGATTTCCTTTTTTGCTTTGTTGAGCTCACAGCAGGTGCTTAATAAATAAATCCTGCGGCAGGAGTAGACGAGCTGCTAAGGCCAGGCAGGGGTTCAGGAAAGATCTCAGGAGTCAACCCCTGGATCTTGCAGATTTTCCACTCATTGCCCTGACTTAACCCGCCTCTCCCCAGTCTTTCTGTCTAGCCCTGAGGATGGAGAGTGGGCACCTTCCCACCCAGAAGTCCCCTGCGGAAGACACTGCCTGGATTTTACCCGAACTCCTGGGGTGCAGCAGGAGCTAGATATGTGCTCACTGGTGTTCTTCCGTGATCCCAGTCTGTGGGTCACACTATCCATGGCCAACACTCCTGTGCGACCCCAGCCAGAGCCAAGGGGAATTGTTTCTTCTTCTTTTGTATTCTTTTTCATTTAATATCCTATATTACTGTCTCTTAGCATTCATTCATTCAGCAGCTCTTCATGGAGCTTTGGGCCTTAGGCCATGTACTCTGGAGGGAGCAGTGAACAAGTCAACAAGGTCTCTGCCCTGGGAGGAGACAGACAACATAGATGTTGGAGAAAACAATGAACGACTACTGGCAGGGACCACTTTAGCTGGGAGTAGAGTCAATCCCCTCAGAAGGTGACAGTTTTGAGCCAAGATCTGGTCGACAGTAGGAGTCAGCCATATGAAAGAATGGGGAGAGCATCCCAGGCAAGGGATACAGCAGGTGCAAAGGCCCTGAGGTGGGAGCGTGCCTGGTGTGTTAGAGAAATCCAGAAGCCAGCATGGCCGGAGTGGAAGGAGTGAGGGGGAGAGGGAAGGCGATGAGGTGGGAGAGGTAGGCTGGTGCCAGATCTGGCAGGCCTGGTAGGCTCTGGCAGGACTTTGAACTTTATTTTAGGTGTGATAGGAGCCAGTAGAGGGTTTTGAGCAGAGGAGGGGCTTGATCTCTACTGTGTGAAAATAGAGTGGGGTTGGGGGACAAGGAGGGAAGCAGAGAGACTCATGAGGACCCATCTCAGTGGTCTGAGCAAGAGGTGGCAGGGCTCACATAATACACAGCAGAATCCTAGGGTGGTGCCCAGCACACAGCAAGTGCTACAGAAGGGTAGTCACTGCTGTTACTGCTTAAAATGTTGGGTCTCAGCTGTAGCTCCAACTCTTTATGGTCTGATGAATTTGAGCAAGTTATTTAACTTCACTGAGCCTCAGTGTTGTCATCTGTGAAGTGGGTAGAACAGTACTAGCATCATGGGGCTGCTGAGAATGTTAAAGCAATAAGAGACAGATGGAAAGTTTGGGGCACAGGGCCTGAGTCATGGTTGGTTCAATATTTTTGTTATAAACAGCAGGATAAAGAAGGGGTAAGTGGGGAAGAGCAGCTGGTATGTTTGCAACTCACGAGCAATCTTTGAGAGGGACTTTTTGGCTAGTTCCTGCAGCGAGGCCTGGCAAAAGGCAGGTTTGGAGGGTTGCAAGGGCTGGGCACAGTGAGGCCATGAGTGCAGAGGGTGACTCCTCTATCTATTCACCAAGTAATGGCTGAGGGTTGGGCAACCTACGGCCTTCTGACTTCAAGATTGTTCTTTTTTAAGCACTAAAGGGGGCAAGAAAAGCTTCATCTTTCTCTGCTGCACCCCTTTAAATAAAAGGATTTTTTCCTGCAAAATTTGGATTCAGGCAAAAGGCCGCTTTTAAGGATCCAGAAGGCCACATGTGGCCCCACTGCCGCAGGTTCCCCGCCCCTGGAGGTCTGGACTGGATACTGGGAAGAGCCAGCAATACCAGTAATAGTGATGATAGCAATCATAGCCAACACTTACCACTCTTTAACTGCAGGTGGTAATTAAGGTAACACTAGCCGATGTGATAGCCAAACCCTGAATGCTCAGAGGCTTAACCCAACAGAAGTTTATTTCTCATTCATGAAAAGTCCTGTTGGGTCTTTGGCAGGTAGCTTTTTGTGTGGTGATCCGGGGACCCAGATCCCTTAGATCTTGTGGTCCTGGCATCCCCTAGGACCTTGGAGTTATTTCTTTCCAACTGGTGGACAGGGAAGAAGAGAAATAATTCCTCATGCAAGGTTTTTAAGGGCCGGGTCTGAAGCAGCACATGTTCTGTCTTAATGCTATGGGCCAGAACTTGATCACATGGCCATATCTGACTGCCAGGGATCTAGGAAACCGCTTTTAGCTATATTCCTAAGAGGAATCAGAAATGCTTTTTGTTGAACACATAGCCATTTCCACTGCACCATAGCCAGGCATACAGCTTAGCATGGAGCATCTTATTTAATCCTCATGACAGAAACAGGCACCATTATTATCCCATTTTACAGATGAGGAAACTGAGGCTCAGAGAGTGAAGTCCCTGGTGCAGGGTCGCACAGCTAGGGAGGAGCTAGTGAGCCAAGATTGGCATCCAGGCAGTCAGATGCTGAAGATATAACATCCAGATTCCTATGGGGAATTCAATCATTTTTCAGAGAATTAGGGCCCTGCACGGTGGCTCACACTTATAATCCTAGCACTCTGGGAGGTCGAGGTGGCGGATTGTTTGAGCTCAGGAGTTCGCGACCATCCTGAGCAACAGCAAGACCCTGTTTCTACTAAAAAATAGAAAAAAATTAGCCGGGCATGGTGGTGGATGCTTGTAGTCCCAGCTACTCAGGAGGCTGAGGCAGGAGGATCACCTGAGCCTAGGAGTTTGAGGTTGCTGTGAGCTACCACAGCACTCTAGCCCGGGCAACAGAGTGAGACTCTGTCTCAACAACATAAATAAATAAATAAGCAAATAAAAGAGAATTGAAGGCCGGGCGCGGTGGCTCACGCCTGTAATCCTAGCTCTTGGGAGGCCGAGGCGGGCGGATTGCTCGAGGTCAGGAGTTCGAAACCAGCCTGAGCAAGAGCGAGACCCCGTCTCTACTATAAATAGAAAGAAATTAATTGGCCAACTGATATATATATAAAAAAAAAAAAAAATTAGCCGGGCATGGTGGTGCATGCCTGTAGTCCCAGCTACTCAGGAGGCTGAGGCAGGAGGATCACCTGAGCCCAGGAGTTTGAGGTTGCTGTGAGCTAGGCTGACGCCACAGCACTCTAGCCCGGGCTACAGAGTGAGACTCTGTCTCAACAACAAAAATAAATAAATAAACAAATAAAAGAGAATTGAGTGTAGTCTGCAGACGTTGGAACAGTGCACATCCATGCCGGGTTTGGATATGACTTCCTGAGATCCACAGAACCCAGTAGGACTTTAGGGGGAGAACTTTGGGGGTGGAACCAAGGGTGGGTGCCAGCCAGTGCCCCGGATCTGGCATCCTGCTCCCTTCCCCCATCCCTCAGGGCACTGGCTGGGGAAGACACAGAATAATTCAGTTCGGTCCACTAAGTACATCCAGGGCTCCCGCTCTGCTGAGTGGGGCATGCAGGGCGTGGACATCCTGGTCATACACGGGGTGTTTGTGGCCTCCCCTGCTCTGGTGATGGGTGTGCAGCCTGTATCGGCTTTTGTGGAGGGCATCTGCAGGAGGCAGGGTGGGGGTCCCTGGGGTTTGTAGTGGCAGCTCTCTGCCCCTGGCTGGTTTAACTTTGCCTAAATCTTGCTGCCACAGCAACTTGGCGGCTCTTACTTTTTTGGGCCAATATAATATGCCTTGTTTCCTGGTTTTCCACTTGCAGGACAGATTGTTTAGTTGGGCATGAGGGCTGGACTGATGTGCATTTGTACAGCGCCTGCTGCATTCCTGGGTCGGACCTAGAGGCAGTGGTAGAGTCTCGAAGTGCATGTGGCCTGGCCTTGTGCTTTAGGCCCTTATTGGGAGGCTGCTGGCCTACATAGAATGAACTTTGGGCTTACCACTGCCCTGAAGCGTGTCCCCTTGAATGGGTAAGAGCCTCAGCCTCTCTGAACCTCAGTTTTCTCATCTGGTAATGGGTTGAGGTGAGGATTTAATGAGGAAATGCGAATATGCCTCCGTGGGGCACTGCACATAGAGCAGAGCTGAGAGGTAGCAGGAGCCAGACACATGGTGCCAATGAAGGCAGGGGCAGCAGCCGCCATTTCCTAACAGCTCACCGCCTGCCGTGAGTTCTAGACTGTGGTTCTAAACCTCTGACACCTTTTGACTCATGTGAATCCTTACAGTGACTCTGTGTGGTGGGTGCTATTTGCCCCATTTTAGAAATGCAAAAACCGAGACTCGGGTAACTTGTTCAAGGTCATACTGCCAACAAGTGGCAGAGCTGGGTCTCATATGCAACCCAGACCGGACACAGACTCCAGAGCTGCGGCCTAACTGCTGTATCACACAGCCTCCTGCTGCAGGGAGGGGAACCTGGGAGGTGGCGGGTGGATCTCGGGGCCTCAGGGTCCTGCAGTCAGGCACTCTTCATTTGGGATTTTCAGATGAATGAATTAGTCTTTATCGGCCAGGCACAGTGGCTCACGCCTGTAATCCCTGTAACCTCAGCAACTCGGGAGGCTTATAAAGAGGGAGGATTGCTTGAACCAGGAATTCCAGACTAGCCTGGGCAAGACAGCAAGACCCTGTCTCTACAAAACTAAGAAAAAATTAGCTGGGCTCGGTGGCACGCATCTGTAGTGTTACCTACTTGGGAGGCTAAGGCAGGAAGATTGCTCGAACCCAGGAGTTGGAGGCTGCAGTGGGCTATGATCCGCTCCACTGCACTCCAGCCTGAGTGACAGTGAGATCCTGTCTCTTAAAAAAAAAAAAAAGAAATTAGTATTTACTGAATGTTCACAATGTGAACCAAGCACTGTGTCACATACAGTTTATGACACATAGTAGTTTGTTTAATCCCCAGACAACCCCGTGAGGTGAGTATCAATTTTTTTTTTCTTTGAGACAGAGTTTCACTCCGTCACCCTGGTAGAGTGCAGTGGCGTCATTGCAGTTCACTGTAACCTTAAAGTACTGGGCTCAAGTGATCCTCCTGCCTCAGCCTCCCCAGTAGCTGGGACTACAGGCATAGTGCCACAAAGCCCAGCTAATTTTTCAGTTTTTAGTAGAGATGGGGTCTCGCTCTTGCTCAGGCTGGTCTCGAACTCCTGAGCTCAAGCGATCCTCCTGCCTCGGCCTGAGGAATACCAATATTATCCGCATCTTACATATGAGGACACTGAGGCTCAGAGAGGCAAATTCACTGTCCATGGGACACACAGCCAGTGGGGGCTGGGCCTGGGGTGGAGGAGATTCAGTTCCTAGCCTGGCCTGGGTGATCCCACAGCCTGCGTTCTCTGTGCTGCACCTGTTGTGGGTGAACGTCCATCCAGCCCCCTGTAAATGCTCACATTCTTAGCAGACCGGGTGACCCCTGTTCTGGGTCAGCAAAGATGACCCTGCAGACTTGGGACTCTGGCCTTTGCCCGCCTCCTGGCTGCTGACCCCACCCCCTGGGCTTGGAGGGCTCTAGGACCCAGCAGTCCGGGGAGGGGAGAGTGCGTGGGGTTCCCTACCTCCAGGTGCTCCCCTCCCTTCTTCCCCCCATCCTTTCCCTTTTCTCTCTCCTCCCCCCTTTTCTCTCCCACATCTCCTTCTTCATCCTTCCTCCTCCCTCTTCTCTCCTCTGCCTCCCCTCCCCTCCCCGCTCCGCCCACCACGTGGTCACATGGGAGCACCACCGGATTTAAGCTTAATCTGCCTGGTGCTCAGCACAGCGGCCTGGCCTTGGGGGTGCTGACTGAGCTGGTTGGGGGCCCTGGGGAAGGGGGCTGGAGCGCTGCCCACAGCCTCCCGGCCCCCATGAGCTTGGGGCTGGCGGGGTCGCAGGAGGCCCAGCTGACACTGGAGACAGTTGTCCAGGTAGGTCCAGGATGAGAGTGTGGGCTCAGCAGGGCTGGTGAGAGGCGGGTGAATCTTGGGGGTCCAGGGGGAAAGAGGTGTGGCGGTGGTGGGGTGCACAGGGACCCCAGCTTGCAGCTCCCAGCAAGACCAGGAGCAGAGGGACGCACAGGGTGCAACTACTGTGGCTCCCCTAGCCCAGTGCCCTGTGGTGGGGAAAGGGGGTCCCCTCGGCACGGCAGGATCCTCACCCACCTAGGGTGGGAGCTGGGTTGTGCTGTGCTGATGGGGTTGTGAGTGGGCTGTGGGGTTTGGTTCTCTTCTCTGGCTCTGGGGGTCTCCTTCCAGTTGCAGGGCGCACACAAGAGCCTCCTCCCATGGGCTTTTTTCTTTTCTGACTCCCAGGCTTTGCTCCATCTTGGGGGTTTCCCGCGGGTCTCCTAGGGCGGTCTCCCTCATCTTGGGCGGCAGGACTTTGCTCCCTTTCCTCTGAGGCCGGGAGCCCAGGGTCGCAGGTGTGCTCAGGAACCTCTCTCTTTCCCCACAGACACTAGAGAGCAACGTCCTGGGACTGGGCGAGCAGGACCTGGCCCGGGACCCCCGCCTCTCCAGCCTGCCCGCTCGCATCAGGGAGATTGTCACCCGTAACCTCTCCGAGCCCGAGAGCCCAGGTACCACCCCCGACCCTCTCCCCCTCCATAGATGGTTCCTGCATTTCACATGTTCTCACATCCCCTCTTCAGCAGGCATGATGGTGACAACGATTATAGCTTTCTCCTCTTGAATACTCACTGCGAGGCAGGCATAACCCTATGACAAAGAGACCCATTTTACAGATGAGGAAATGGAGGCTCAGAGCTGTGATTTGCCCAGACCTATTCCACACATGCTGCAGCTCGAGGGGAAGGGCTGAGCGTCCCCTCCCTGCTTGCCCGCAGCCTGCTGCAGAGACCTGAACCCCAAACACCATATGCCCTCCCACAGAAGGTGTGAGCTGGCTGAACCCAGATTCCAGGGGAAGGCAGCTCAGTTCAGACCAGGGTTTTGCAGAAGTCTGAGGGTGGTGGTGTCCGTTCCCCACCCCAGCAGGAAGGCTGGCGGACCTCCTCCTGGTGGTGGCACGCACAGCCTCATTATGTGCTCTGAGGGTCTGGGAGGGCACATGCAGCGCAGTGGGTGTGTTGGCTGCGCTACTAAGCGTGTTTTTGGTGCTCCAGCCATAGTCCCTGTTCAACTGCTGGAGTGTTGGGGCCTGAGACGCAGAGAGACTTGGACAGCCCTCACCCAGGCTGGCAGAGCCTAGCGGGCTGCCGCTGGCTAAGGCCTGTGTTGTGCATCCAGTTCTCCCAGCGTGGAAGAGCGTCCCACAGGAGTTGACAGCTCTGCTTCTCCTTCTGGCCTTTCTTTCCCTCCTTTTTCTTTCTCCTCCTCCTCCTCCTCACAGCCTAGCTTGAGCCCTGGCCTTGGGTGAGGCTTTCCTGCTTTTCTGGCAGGGTCTAGTTACTGTTCCACCCATTTTACAGATGAACAAAACTGAGACCCAGGCCGGCCATGGTGGCTCAAGCCTGTAATCCTAGCACTCTGGGAGGCCGAGGCAGGTGGATTGCTCGAGGTCAGGAGTTTGAAACCAGCCTGAGCAAGACGAGACCCCATCTCTACTAAAAAATGGAAAGAAATTAATCGGCCAACTAAAAATATATAGAAAAACTTAGCTGGACATGGTGGTGCATGCCTGTAGTCCCAGCTTACTCAGGAGGCTGAGGCAGAAGGATTGCTTGAACCCAGGAGTTTGAGGTTGCTGTGAGCTAAGCTGACGCCACAGCACTCTAGCACGGGCTACAGAGTGAGACTCTGTCTCAAAAAAAAAACAAACAAAAACAAAAACTGAGGCCCAGAGAAGAATAGTAATTGAAGAAGGAAGGAGCAAGTGCTCAGGGCTGAGCCTCTCTCCCGCTCCTTGCTCCTGCACTTTAGCTGTGGTTGCGTCCACTTTATGCCTAACTCTAGGACAATGGTCCCCAACCTTTTTGGCAACAGGGACTGGTTTCATGGAAGACAATTTTTCTACGAACGGGTGGGGTGGGGGACGGTGAGGGGGTTGCAGAGCTTAGGTGGTGATACATGGTCCTGTTTTCCTAACAGGCCATGGACTGGTGCCAGGCCACGGCCAAGGGGTTGGGGACCGCAGCTCTAGGCCCTCTCTATGCCTACTTTCCTGTTCCTCTGCTCTGCTGGCAGGCCTGGTGCTGCACCCACTCCCCCCAGGCTCTCCCAGGAACCTGGTTGACCTTCCTGCCCTGAGTGCCGAGTGGGGTACCCATGGGGAAGGGAGTCCCACTGGACCTGGGCAGGAGCCAACGTGTGCCCGCTGACCCTTGCCAGCCTCACTGTCAGCCACGGAGATGGCATCGCTGCTGTCGGTGCAGGAGGAGAACCAGCTGCTGCAGCAGGAGCTGTCCCGCGTGGAGGACCTGCTGGCCCAGAGCCGTGCCGAGCGCGATGAGCTCGCCATTAAGTACAACGCCGTCAGCGAGAGGGTGGGTGCCGAGGGGGCCGGGGCGGGTGCAGGGCAGCAGCTGCCAGGTCCAGGCCAGGCCTGTACGCAGGGCACAAAGCGGGCCCTGGAGTCAGGCCGGCCAGGTTCAGATGTGGCCTTGCCGACTTTAGTGGCCCTGAGCACAGCACTCCCTTTCCGGGGCCGGGAGGGTAACAGGACGTGGAGCTGTGAGGACTTGATGAGATAGTGCAGATAGTGCAATAAAGTCCACGGCACCAGGCGTGTTTGGGGTGTGAGGCCAGAGAACAAGACCCCGGGAGGCCCTTCCCGCCGCTGAGTCTCTGACATCTCCCTGTGCTCCTGTTGCCATGGCGTTGGGGTTGAGGCCGTGGCTGGATGCCAGGGCAGGCCGGCGTGGGCACCCTGGTGCTCTCCAGGCTGTCTGGGGCAGCTATAAGACCTGCTGCCACTCCCCGCCGGGGTGAGGCCCGGGCAGGGGAGGAAGGAGAAGCCAGGCCTGTCTCTGTGTCCAGACAGGATTCACGTCACCCAGACCTGTGCTGCAGGCTTGTGGGGGTCCCGGGCCTGGGGAGGAGGTTGCCGTCTGCCGGGGCCGGGGGTGAGGGATGCTCTTGACGCATTGTCTGCTCTGGGCCTTCAGGCTCGTGGGAGGTGCCCCTGGGGAGTTGATGGTGGCTGAAGGTTGGTAAGGGAGTTGCATGGGGGCAGAGTGTTTGTGTGCAAATGGGAGGCATGGGGCTATTAACAGCCATACTAGGAGCTACCATTTATTGAGTGCCTACTGTGTGCCAGGTGTGTGCTGGGCGCTCTATATTTAATGCACCAAGGTTGGGACCATTATGATGCCCATTTAACAGAGAAGAAAATGGAGGCTCAGAGAGAAGCTCCCTGCTGGGGGTGACACAGCCAGTTAAGGCCAGAACCCAGGTGTACCAACTCCCAGCCCAGGGCTCTGTGTTGAAGCCTTGTTTCCTGTATGTGGGAAGAGACACTGGGCCAGGATCTTCAGGGGGCAGCTGGTCTCCGGAAAGCTGGAAGAGACCAGAGGGGCAGGGGCTGGCTCAGGGTCCCTGTGTGGTAGTAGCAGAGCTAGGGGTAGCCTAAGCTGGGTCTGTCCAGGCTGAGCCTGTACACTTGTGTTGGGAAGAGGTGTGCATTTCTGTGTGTGACTGTGGGGTGTGCCTGTGTCCTGGTATCCTCCCTCCTGAACAAGCCCCCAACTTGTTGGGACTTGCCGAGGAGCAGGGTGGGGGCCCGCGGTGGCCCCTAGCATTCAGCACAGTGCAGGGCTAGTCTTCCCAGGGTCTGTAGGGGGCGTGAGGGCAGGATGGCCCAAGTCCTGCAGTGTTGGTGGTAACAGGGCTCTGAGCCAGCCCCTCCTGGGGTAAGCCTCTCTTTTGGCCCCTGGCAGTGCAGCTAGCCCTGCCTGACCCCCGCAAAGCCCTCCTGGTTGGCAGGGGAAGGAAAGAGGAGGTGAGAGGTAGAGGTCCCTTCTCTGCTGGGACATAGCTGCATAGGAGCTAGGGCTGGGGCTGCAGCACGGAGGCCAGGGTTAGTCTAGAAAGTTCCCTCATGTGTCTGGGGAAGCCCCCGAATAACGTGCAGAGGGAGCCTGGCATTTCAGGTGTCCTCTGTCCAGCATGGTTTGAGTGAGGCCCCACCTGGAGGCAGGGATTGGACAGGAATGCCCTGGAAGTCCTTCTCTTCCCATGCACAGGAAACAAGACTTCAACACAGAGCCCTGGGCTGGCGGTCAGGACACCTGGGTTCTGGCTGCAACTGGCTATGTCACCCCCAGCAGGCTGATTCCCCTCTCTGAGCCTCTGTTTTCTCCTCTGTTAAATGGGCATCATCATGGTCCCGACCTAGAGGATGGGTCCATAGAGAACTTAAGAGTCTGGAAGTCACCTTATTACATATGGGGAAACCGAGGCCCAGAGAGGGAGCATGATGGGCCCAAGGTCAGTGGTGGAGCTGGGATGAGACCCCGGTCCAGGGCTCTGCAGTTGTGTGACACCATCTGTCCCTGCTGCCCCCTTGTCCCTGTGGACACAGGTGGGAAGACCTGCCCTGCGGCCATAACCGGCATAGTGAGCTGGGGGGTAGGGCGGCAGCCAGTGAGACGGTTCTGGTCCTTCAAACCCCACAGCACCCTTGGGGTGGGGAGTGGAGGGAGGGTCAGGATCTGTGTCCTGTTGAGGAAACTGAGGCAGGGGCTCCCAGAGGCTACTTCCCAGGAGAGAAAGAGGACCTCAGGGTCCCTGTGGAGAGCCCCCCTTTCTTCCTGTCCCTGAGAAGCAGGTGTAGGCACAGCTGGGAATGGAAAGGAGGGAGTGGCCATCCCCCTTGGCTCCAGAGGACAGACCCCCTGGGCTCCCCCGGTGTCCATGGCAACCTGGACAGAGTGAATTGAATGGCGGGTATAATAGGGCAGCGGTTGCCAGGGGAGACAGTAAACTTCTTTCATCCCTGGCTTAGCGGCAGCCTCCTTCCCTTTGAATTGCAAGTGAAATTGAAAGGCTGTTTTGTACGGGGTGAAGTTTGTGGGAAGGGGTGGGGTGTGGCGGGGAGGGCCCTGCTCCGAGCATTGACGGAGGGGGCGGAGCACCTGGCGACTGTCTGCACCCCTCTCGACCACAGAGGCAAATGGCATTGGTTCGCACAGAAGTGCAGCGCACACACAGGCCCCACACAGAGACACAGATGCACAAAACATGCCATGCAGATACGCTCAGAGTCACAGGATGTGCACAGAATAGTCACCCAGATGAACAGTCCCACCACCGCGACATACCCGCATGCAGAGAGCACCGCGCGCTGCCTCGCACCCCATGGACGCACACGGAAAAGGCACACGACTCGACACAGCCCCCAGTCAGCCCGCAGCGGTCTTCTCAGGTGCACAAAGCACGTGGTCACCAACACATGCGGAGACACGCAGAGCCCAGGCACACTCTCCAGACCCCTTACAGGTGTGCACACGCGTGCCTGGCACACAGCCATACAAACACGTACCCTCGTGTCCTGACACCCACAGACGGGCCCAGTGCCCGCTCCAGCACACAGGCCTGCAGCCACAGGCACCACCCACCACAGGTTGACGTGAAAGCCAGACACACCCAATTGTCAGCGTGTCCCCAGCACCTGCACATGAGGGACACACACGAGGTCCCATGTGGAGACACGCAGAACATAGCCCACGCACATGCAGCGAGGTGCACCTGCTCTCACGCACAGCACACGAGTTTTAGGTCTGCCACCACGTGTGGAACTAAGTGGGTTTCGTGCAGACACTTGGTGGCCCAGCAGCCACCGTCCAGCCGGAAACCCCCTGCATCCACCTCCCTCCATGTCCTTAGATTCAAGGGGGAGCCCCCAAGCAGCCACAACGAGCTACCCCAGAGGGCACGTGTCCCTGGGGATGGGGTGGGTAGAGATGTGGTTGTCCTTGGCTTTGTTGGTGGCTCACAGAGCATCTCCTGGGCATACTGGGTGGATGCAGGCCAGGTGGCCACTGTCCCTGCCACTGACCCAGCCTGGACCCCGGATCAGCGTGGGTGAGAACAGCTGCCCCTATGACTGGTGTAGCCTCGCATGGGGGCGTGGGGAGCGTGTGACCGCCCTGCTCGGGCTGTAGCAGGCCAGGTGCTGGGGAGGTGGACAGTGAGTGTGGGGCTGGCGTCCCTGCTGGGTGTCCCCGACGCACTGTGTGGTCTCTCATTGCCCTGCTCCTCCCTCGCCTCCCTTCCCCCCAACAGCTGGAGGAGGCTGAGGGGCACCTGGGCCCTGCAGGTGTACTAAGGGGTTGAGAGGGTTCCATGGCTAGTGAGGCAGCCAGAGCCAGGCAGACAGGGGTCTGAGGACAACGGGGCTGCTAGATGCCTGGGGGTGGAAGAAGTTGGCGGTGGCAGGGGCTCCCAGAGAGGTACAGGGGAGGTGAGGACAGAGAGGGAGTCAATGGGCAGACGCTGTATGAGGCAGTATTTGTGTGCACTTCTTATAGATCTTAGTACTGTGTATGTGGGGGTTCATCTGTGTCACCTGCGGGTGTTTGAGACTGCCCGTGTGCATTATGTGTGTGCATGTCTGTACGCTCAGGTATGCATATATGCATGTGTGTATTGATGCCTCTGCTTTGAATGTATTCCCATTGCTCATGCCATTAATTCAGGATCTCAACAAATATTTGCTGAGTGTGAGCCAAGCTATACCATGGCCACTGTTCTAGGTACTAAGATACAATGGGGAAGAAAAATTCAGGCTTTCCTAAGGTCACGTTAAGGTGGGGGTGGGGCGGGGGAGGGGTGGGGAGCCGTGGGCTTGAATGTAATAATCATAAACCACAGCAGGACTCCGTGTTCTGGAGGAGAGGCACATGTGCAACAAAGTGCAGCTTTGTGTTTTGCATGCAGTCTGTGGGCCCACCTGCATGTGTCTGTGCATGCCCCATCTGTGTGTCCGTGCATGCCTGGTCTGTGTGTCCCTGCATGGCTGCATCGGCCCATCGGTGCACACGTGCACTGCATCCTGGGCTTGCCCACATGTGCCTGCTCCCCCTGGTGCCAGGCCGTCAGCTTGCAAAGCATCATGGGTCTGGGCCCAGCCTGGCGCCCCCTGGAGAGGCCTGTGCCTGCCTTCCCGGGGGGCCTAGGACTCTCACCCAGGGCCCTTCCCTGCAGCTGGAGCAGGCTGTGCGGCTGGAGTCTGGGGAGCTGGAGACGCAGGAGCCCAGGGGGCTGGTGCGGCAGAGCGTGGAGCTGCGGAGGCAGCTGCAGGAGGAGCAGGCCTCCTACCGGCGCAAGCTGCAGGCCTACCAGGAGGGCCAGCAGCGGCAGGCCCAGCTAGTGCAGCGGCTGCAGGCCAAGGTCAGGGCCACCCACTCCGCTCCTGCCCTCCCTGTGCTCACTTTGCCCTGCCCCCACCCCCTGGGGCAAACCATCCACTCTCTGCCCCCCCCAGATTCTCCAGTACAAGAAGAGGTGTACAGAGCTGGAGCAACAGGTGCTGGAGAGATCCTCGGAGCTGGAGCAGCAACGGCTGAGGGTGGGTGCCAGGGTGGGGCTGGGGCAGGCCCTCCCCTCCCCCTCCCCAGCCTGATGCTCCCCCCTTACCTGCCCAGGACACAGAGCACAGCCAAGACCTGGAGAGCGCCCTCATCCGCCTGGAGGAGGAGCAGCAGAGGTGAGGGTGCGGCAGGGAGCGTGCAGGGCTGGCAGGGTGGCCCTCGCTGGGCAAGCGCCCACTGGTTCCTGTGCCCTGCCCAGGAGCGCCAGCCTGGCCCAGGTGAACGCTATGCTCCGAGAGCAGCTGGACGAGGCAGGCTCGGCCAACCAGGCTCTGAGCGAGGACATACGAAAGGTCACCAGCGACTGGACACGCAGCCGCAAGGAGCTGGAGCAGCGGGAGGCAGCATGGAGGCGCGAGGAGGAGGTGGGCACAGGCGGGAGGCCAGCCTGACCCAAGGGGAAGGGCCCCTGCAGAGCGGGCTGGACTTGGGAGTCCAGAGAGGGAAAGGGAGCGCGGGCCAGGTGAACAGGTCAGCAGAGGTGAATGGCCATCGTCATAATCGCCGGCCTTCATTAGCACCCGGCGTGCATTTGCTTTATTCCTCACACTAACCACATGTGGCAGGAGCCCTCATTCTCCCCATGTTAAGAAACCTGCCCAGGTCATGCGACTGGCAGCTGGGATGCAGACCTAGGTCCCCTGCGCTTTCTTCCCTTCCGTGCCACCTCTTGCAGCCTTCAAGTGGAAGCCTTGAAACCCGGTTCCCTGTGCAAAAGGGAGCCGTTGGGCTTGAGAGCTTGAGCAGGGCTGGAGTGACAGAGTCTGCACAGGCCCGGAGCCTCCGGGTGGGGGAGCTGGGGAGGGGTGCATCGACGCTCACCCCAGCCCTCCGCTTGGCATGTCCCCTCCAGTCCTTCAATGCCTACTACAGCAACGAGCACGGGCGCCTGCTCCTCCTCTGGAGGCAGGTGGTGGGAGTCCGCCGGCTGGTCAGCGAGGTGAAGGTGTCCACCGAGAGGTGAGGCCCGGCCGGGGGAGGGGCGCGGGGAGACTCCACTCAACTCAGATGGCTTCAGTACAGCTCAGCACGACAGCAGGCGCTGTGGAGATGCAGAGGCAACTTGTAACTATTTACATTACCACAGTCGGGGCAGCCGACATTTGCTAGATGCCTAATCAGAGCTAAACTCTTTGTACGTTTCATTTCAACTAATAATTCACATCATGTTCTTGTGAGGTAGGACCTGTGAGAATCCCCATTTACAGATGAGGACACTGAGGCTCAGAAAGGTGGAGTGACCTTTCCGAGTAGTACACAGGTGGCTGAACCAGGGTTTGAAGCTCCTGCTTTGAATCCACTACACCATTCTGCTACCAAGGACCTCATGACCTCTCATAATGAAAACACGTATAGCCCCCCCAAAATTCTAGACTGAGGAGGGGAGGGGTCAGTGACATGAGGGTGGGACAGAGGGAATGTCCTAGACGTTCAGAAGGATGGGGGGAGGGATAGGGAGGTCAGAAAAATTCTTCATGGACAAGGTGGAATTTGCATGGATTGGAAGTCGATGATAGGCCAGGCACGGTGGCTCATGCCTGTAATCCTAGCACTCAGGGAGGCTGAGGCAGGCGGATCGCTCAAGGTCAGGAGCGATCAGAGACCAGCCTGAGCAATAGTGAGACCCTGTCTCTACTAAAAATAGAAAGAAATTCGCTGGACAACTAAAAATACATAGACAAAATAGCCAGGCATGGTGACGCATGCCTGTAGTCCCAGCTACTTGGGAGGCTGAGGCAAGAGAATCACTTGAGCCCAGAAGTTTGAGATTGCTGTGAGCTAGGCTGACGCCACGGCACTCTGGCCCGGGGAACAGAGTGAGACTCTGCCTCAAAAAAAAAAAAGAAAGTCCATGGTAGGGTGGAAACTGGCTGAGCAATGGGCACCCTAGGCACAGGGACAAGGTGAGCACAGGCTTGTAGGGTGGGAGCACATGGCACCAGGGGGGTTGGAGTGACAAGCCAGTGAGGCACTGGCCGAGCTTTGAGCAGAGGCCCACTGTGGTCAGAGTGGCAGTGGGGCAGGCCAGGCTGTCGGGAGAGCGCCGAGGCAGGAGACCAATGTGTCCATGTTAGTGTCTTTCCTTAATATTATCAGATAGTGTTCAGCTTCTCCAGTTGACTTGTAAATGTCACAGATAGTCTTGCTTCACTTTTCGTCTTTTTGATTTGTTTGAACCCAGATCCATAGGCATTCACAAAATGTGATTGCTTGCCTTTTATCTTTTAAGTCTCTTTTTAACTTAATTTGTTCAGGAAACTGGGTTGTCCTTACAGATTCCCATAGTCTGGATTTTGCTGGTTGCATCCCGGTGGTGTCACTTAACAGGTTCCTCTGTCCCCTGTATTTCCTGTGAATTGGGTGTCATATCCAAAGCTAGATCAGATTCAGGTTCTATTTTGTTTCAGGGGATGATTTTTTAGCAAGAGTCTGTAAGAGGAGTGTATTCTTCCATCACGAGGTCGCTTAGGCCTGGATGGCTCTCTTTTTATGACATTGGCAGCCTGATGCTCAATGCCAAGATCCAAACATTCATCAGAGGTTGCAAAACTATGGTCTCATTCTGTCACTTCTTAGTGTGTTAGCTAGAATTTGTAACAAGGCATTTCTCCTTTCTGTTGGATACCCAGTGGTACAGTTCATTCAACAAAGAATGGAGTTTATTAACCTATATTATAGATTTAAAATACCTTTTATTTTAATTGGCATTTAAAATTTTTATATTTTGCTTTTGGATAAGTCACACCTTCACAAGGTTCACATTTCAAAAGAGGGTAGAGTGAAAAGTCTCCCTCCCACCACTGGCCCCTAGACACGCCCCTTCCCTCCTTGGAAGCAAGCAGCGTTATCAGCTTCCTAAATGGCCTTCCAGGGCTATTTTACTTTATCTCAAGACAGGGTCTCACTGTGTTGCCCAGGCTGGAGTGCAGTGGTGTCAACCTAGCTCACTGCAGCCTCAAACGCCTGGGCTCAAACAATCCTCCTGCCTCAGTTTCCCAAATAGCTGAGATACAGGAGCCCACCACCACACATTTTTAAAAATTTTTTGTAGAGACAGGGTCTCTCTATGTTTCCCAGGCTGGTTTTGAGCTCCTGGCCTCAACCGATCCTCCCGCCTTGGCCTCCCAAAGTGTTAGGGTTACAGGCATGAGCCACCGTGCCCAGCCAGGGTTATTTTATACAAGCAAATAAAACAGATTGCATACATACTTTTTATGTATATACTCTTGGTAGAATTTCAACTTTGCAGTTACTTTCTTCACCTAATAGTCACAACTGGTAGGTAGCTCCATATCAGGATAGGAAGAGCTTCTCCACTGGTTTTTCTTGGCACAGAGTATTCTATTGAGTGGATGTACCATGATTAATAGCAGTCCCCTTTTGATGGACGTTTAGGTGGTCACCAGTGTTTGTACATGAGCCATGCTGCGGTGAATCCCTTGGCCACGGTTCATTCCCTTGTGTCGGGTGTATCTGTAGGATATGTTCCCAGAGGTGGAGCTGGCGGGGCAAAGGTCCTGTGCATTCAGGCCTTCCAGAGCTCCTCCTAACTGCCCTCCCTTGCGGATACGCCGCTCACCCTCCCACCAGCCACGCAGGGAGGCCTCTTACCCCACAGCCTTGCCCACGTCGTGCATTATGTGACTTTTTTTTCTTTTGCCAATTTGATAGCAACATCGCAGTGTAGTTTTTTTGTTTATTTTTTTTTTTTTTTGAGACAGAGTCTCGCTTTGTTGTCCAGGCTAGAATGAGTGCCGTGGCGTCAGCCTAGCTCACAGCAACCTCAAACTCCTGGGCTCAAGCGATCCTCCTGCCTCAGCCTCCCCAGTAGCTGGGACTACAGGCATGCGCCACTATGCCCGGCTAATTTTTTATATATATATATCAGTTGGCCAATTAATTTCTTTCTATTTATAGTAGAGACGGGGTCTCGATCTTGCTCAGGCTGGTTTTGAACTCCTGACCTTGAGCAATCCGCCCGCCTCAGCCTCCCAGAGAGCTAGGATTACAGGCGTGAGCCACCGCGCCCGGCCTGTTTTTTGTTTTTTTATTTGAGATGGGTTCTTCTGTGTTACGCAAGCTGGCCTCACATTCCTAGACTCTAGGGATCCTCTGGCTTCTGCCTCTTGAGTAATGGGACTACAGTGTGCACCACCATGCCCAGCCCAGTGTAGGTTTTTTTTTTTTTTAAGACAGGGTCTTACTCTGTCACCCAGGCTGGAGTGCAGTGGCATAATCATAGCTCACTGCAGACTTGAACACCTGGGCTCAAATTATCCTCCTGCTTTGCCTCCTGAGTAGCTGGGATCATAGGTGTGAGTCACTGTGCTCAGACCAGTATAGTTTTAATTTGCACTTGGGAGCCACCACCATCCCTTTCTATCCCTATCCTGTGCTCTCTCCCCCAGGGACCTGCTGCAACTGGGAGGGGAGCTGGCGCGGACGTCACGGGCTGTCCAGGAGGCAGGCTTGGGGCTGAGTGCGGGCCTGCAGCTGGCGGAGAGCCGGGCCGCAGCGGCCCTGGAGAAGCAAGCGCTGCTGCAGGCCCAGCTGGAGGAGCAGCTGCGGGACAAGGTGCTCCGTGAGAAGGACCTGGCCCAGCAGCAGGTGCAAAGTGACTTGGACAAGGCCGACCTCAGTGCCAGGTGGGTACCTGGTGGGTGCCTGGCGGGTGCAAGGCAGGCCTCTCTGCAGGGCGTGCCCCTGGAGGCTCGGGGAGGAGGGAGTGTCTGTTTGGGGGCGGGCCCTTCCCCTGCATGAGCTCAGCCGGTCTTCCCAGGCACCCCGTTTGAGAATCCGAGGGCACTTGCCCAGGGTACCTCATGCATAGTTCAACTTCTGGGTGACAGAACTTGTTCCCCTAAGTCCTGCTACCCGGACAAGTCCCAGAGTGCTTTCCCACGAGATAAAATGGGTACCCTGTGAAGTCTGAGACCTAGAGAGAAGTGACCAGCCTAAGGTCACACAGCTAGGGAGGTGGGTCTCAGCGTCCCTGCCTTAGGTATAGGGAAGCATGGGGGACACAGAAGCTGGGGTAGTCCCCCATTCACCTCTGTTTGTCCCCGACTCCAGGGTGACAGAGCTGGCCCTGGCTGTGGAGCGTCTTCAGAACCAGAATCTGGAGAAGGATCGTGTCAACAAGGCCCTCACTGAGAAGCTTGAGGCCCTGGTGAGAGGCCGCTGCCCCCAGGATGTGGCAGGGTGGGGTGGGGGACTGGCCAGGTCCATCAGGTGCAGGACACAGGCTAGGGGCCAGGCTGCTCAGGCCACCTGAGTGTCCCGCTCAGACTCAGTCTCGCCCCTCACGTGTGTGCCGGGCTCAGTGCTAAGCACACTCGCCTCCTTCATCCTGTTTCGTCCTCCCAGCAGCCCTGTAGCGTGGTCCCCATGACACAGACGGGGCCAGGCCCGGAGGGGATGCTTGTCCAGAGTCTCAGAGCCAGTAAGCAGGAGAGTCAGCACTTGAACTCCTGACTCTCTGCCTGGGCTCTCCTGGTCCAGGGCTCTTCCTCCGGGAACTCGGCTGCCTCCCCACCAGAGGGACCCTCCTCAGGATACCGCACGGGTTGGTCGCCCTTCTGTGTGGGGCCTGGCCTGGGTTCTGCATCCAGTGCTCCTCCAGCAGTCTCTGTGACCTGGGCGGGGCACAGCGCTTCTCTGGGCCTGGTCTGTTCAGGGAGGGCAGTGGGCTGCCGTGGGGTCTTCCACGTGGCTGGCCTGGGGGCATGGCCTTAGAGGCTGTCTGGTCGGTGGTGGGCCAGGAGGGAGAGGACGGGGAGGTTTAGGACGAGGGCAGACCCCTGAGCACCCTTTCTTTGTCTCCCTAACCTCACTCAAGGAGTCCCTGCGGCTGCAGGAGCAGGCGGCCCTGGAGGCAGATGACGGGGAGGGGCTGCAGCAGACCCTGAGGGACCTGGCACAGGTAACGAGAGCTCAGCCAGGCAGGCTGGGGCTGCCCACCATGCCCTCTGAGGCCTCGGGCTGAACTGCAGTGGGTGAGGCCTGGCCCCAGGCTGCTGCTGTCCAAGGAGGGTCACAGCACTTTCCGGGCCCACCTGTGAGCAATCTGAGATAAATGGGAGGCGTCAGTGGGCAAACAGGGCTGTGAGCTAGCGCAGGAGGTGGAATCAGGAAGCTTCTGGAAGGAAGGAGCGTAGGCCATGCTTCAGTTCGGGATGAGATGGCCCCTCTGCGCCACTGGGCTTCTCTGCCAGCTCACCCCGCGGCTCCCCACCTCCTGCCCCCGCCCTGCTCCCCCAGGCCGTCCTGTCGGACACTGAGAGCGGCGTCCAGCTAAGCGGCTCAGAGCGCACAGGGGACACGTTGGACGGCAGCCTGCGGGGGCTCTCTGGCCAGCGGACCCCCTCGCCACCACGGCGCTCCTCGCCTGGCCGTGGACGTTCCCCTCGCCGAGGCCCGTCCCCGGCCTGCTCGGACTCCTCCACGCTCGCCCTGATCCACTCGGCCCTGCACAAGCGCCAGCTGCAGGTCCAGGTAGCAAGGGGCCTGAGCGCCGTCTGGGGTCCAGGGGGTCCTGAGTGGGCTGTGGGGGAGGAGCCTGAGCCCCTGGGATGGAGCCAGAGCCCCGAGAAACAGTGACTGAGGGTGTCAGGACCCAAGGAGGTGGCCCAGCTCTGAGCCCAGAGTGGGAGGTGCTTGGGTAGCTGGGGATGGAGCCAGAGGAGGGAGGAAGGTGTGGCCCCGCTAGAGCCCAGGTAGAAAGGGAGCGGAGGTCCCGTTACACAGAGCTGGGGCCCTGGCAAAGGTCTGGGAAGAGGACGCAGAGGTAGGAAGAGAGAGCTAGGGGCAGAGTCAGAGCCGAGGTAGGCAGGAGTCTCCGGGTGCAGCCAGGATGCAGGGAGGAAGCTGGAAGCCCCGGGGGTGGAGTCAGGACCTAGGCAAGGAAGGAGGGTGCTTCGGGGTTTGTCTGGCATCCCCAGGCTTGGGTCCCCAAGCAGGTGAGGGCCCAGAAGTACAGTGAGTGGAAACCTAGCCGTGGGGCTTGGCCTAGTGTGGGCTGGTGTGTGTCCGTGGAACCAGCAGACAGTAGCTAGGCTCTGGGAGCCCCCTGTGCCCCCCAGACTCAGTGGTCCCCATGCCCAGGACATGCGTGGGCGCTATGAGGCGAGCCAGGACCTGCTGGTCACCCTGAGGAAGCAGCTTAGCGACAGTGAGGGTGAGCGCCGTGCCCTAGAGGAACAGCTGCAGCGCCTGCGAGACAAGACCGATGGGGCCACCCAGGCCCACGAGGACACCCAGCGCGAGGCCCAGCGCCTGCGCAGTGCCAACGAGCTCCTGAGCAGGTGCCTGGGAGGTCAGAAGTGGGAGGGCCTGATGCCAGCCTGAGCCTTGAAGCGTGTGGCTTGCGCTAACGTGGTCACCACTAGCTGCATGTGTCTCTTATAATTTAAATTAGTTGAAATTTTTAAGAAGTAAGAATTTAATTCCTCAGTTGCACTAGCCACATTTCAAGTGCTCAACAGCCATACATTGCTGGGGGGTGGTTCATTACCTGTAGTCCCAGCAACTGGGGAGGCTGAGGCAGGAGGATCGCATGAGGCTGTAGTAAGCTGCGATGAGGCCACTGCACTCTAGCTTGGGTGACAGAGCGAGACCCTGACTCTAAAAACCCAAAACAACAACAAAACCCAGCCACATGTGGCTGTAGAACATTTCTGTCGTCTCAGAGAGTTCTGTTAACAGCACTATGCTAAGACTGTCTTTCTTGGAAATTTTAAGACAAGAAATTATCCAACTCTTAGCTGCCAGTTGGGTTTTTTTATTGTTGTGTTTTGGTTTTTCTCTTTGTAAATGTAACTGTATAATGAAAAGTTTGAAAAATGGAGGAGAAATAAAAAGGCAGGACCCCTCACAGCCTTACCTGCCCTTCCTGTCCCCTGTTAGGGCCCTGGTTTGCTTCCCATGGTGTTTCCTGGCGGGGGTGGGGTAGCAAACGTTCCCTGCACACCTACTACGTGCCAGGCTCTTGGGCAGGTTCTTCCCATGTTAGTCTGCCCGGCAAACTGACACAATCGGAACTGTTACCTTGCCCAGACTCACACAGCCCGTGTGGCTGGGGGTGGCACGGGGGGAATTGGAATCAGGCCCATCTGGTAGCAAACCCAGACTTTGCATGCCTGGGAATGAGAAGGGCTTTTAAGTGGTTGTATTCACAGACAACATCCCATTTGCGCTCTACTCTTTTTACTTAATATCACGTTGTGAGTTTTCTCCTACCCGCCTCCAGTGGGGAAATGGCAGGTCTCTGCAAGTCTTTGGGGTTCCTGGTTTCTGCCACCTCCCTCCCCAGCCATGGCTGCCATGCATCTGTGTGGCTGGAAGCTGTGGGACCTGGGCACACCCAACTCTATTGGGCTTCCCAGACTTGAGGGGCACGGGGTGCCGTAGGGGGCATTTCCTGGTCGCATGGCCTAGCAGAGCTGGTGGCACGATGCCCATGTTCCAGGAGCCTAGCCTTGGCCTCTTCTACCTGGTAAGGTGCTTGGAGATAATGCCACACCTCCGTCCATTCCACCAGGCCTCCAAGAGGGCGCGTTGGGAAAGGAAAGCCGGGTTCCTCCTGCGGGGAGGTGTGAGTGAAATGAGTTGGGCTTCCTGGAGGCAGGTGCCTGGGAGGACAGCAGCTCACGTCGAGAGGAGCAGCCCCGCCATCTTCCCTGGAGGTCGCAGCCCCAGCGTCCCCTCTGCTCCCTGTCCCCTTGTCCTGCAGGGAGAAGGGCAGCCTGGCCCACAGCCTGCAGGTGGCCCAGCAGCAGGCGGAGGAGCTGCAGCAGGAGCGGGAGAAACTGCAGGCCGCCCAGGATGAGCTGCGGCGCCAGCGGGACCGGCTGGAAGAAGAGCAGGAGGACGTGGTGCAGGACGGCGCACGGGCACGCAGGGAGCTCGAGCGCAGGTGACAGCTTCCCGCCTCCCTGCTGGGGCCCTTCTGATGTCCCTTGGGGCTCCTGACGGCATCCCTGGGGGCTAGGGAGCACCCACTGTGTCCTGGGCCTCCTGCCACCTGGAGGCAGCCTCCTGTCACCCCTCTGATGTAGGGTCTTCTAATCCGTGCCTTTTTGGGAAACTGAGGCTCAGGGAAGCACAGTCACTTACCTGGGATCAGAAAACAGGTAGGAAGGAGAGCTTGCTTGGATGATAATAACAACCATAATTACAATAACAGTAGTAATATTAATAATATTCTTATTTTTTGGCCGGGCGTGGTGGCTCATGCCTGTAATCCTAGCACTCTGGGAGGCCGAGGTGGGTGGATTGCTCGAGATCAGGAGTTCGAAACCAGCCTGAACAAGAGCAAGACCCTGTCTCTACTATAAATAGAAAGGAATTAATTGGCCAACTAATATATATATAGAAAAAATTAGCCGGGCATGGTGGCACATGCCTGTAGTCCCAGCTACTCGGGAGGCTGAGGCAGGAGGATTGCTTGAGCCCAGGAGTTTGAGGTTGCTGTGAGCTAGGGTGATGCCACGGCACTCACTCTAGCCTGGGTAACAAAGCAAGACTCTGTCTCAAAAAAAAAAAAAAAGAAAAATTCTTATTTTTAAAATACAATTGTAATAATACCAATACTAATATTATTAAGTCCCAGTCACCATTTTAAGCACGTAGATTCTTTCATTTAATCCTCAGGATGACTCTGTGATGTAGAGGCCGTTATAATCTCCACTTTATGGATGCTAAAGCTGAGGGACAGAGGCGCTGTGTGACTTGCCCCAGGCCGCACAGCTAGTTAGTAGAAGAACCAGGACTGGAGCCCAGGCATTCTGCCTCGGGAGTTAACTTCTTAACCACTGCCCTGTTTCCCTCCTGAGGCCTGAGTGTGAGGACGTTCAGTACACGTGGTAGTGGATGTTATTGTTTCTGAAGGCCCTCGGGGTGATGTGTCAGGCACCGTTTTAAGCACTTGGTGAACAGCAAGCACAGGTATCCTTGCGACAGCTTTACAAGGCAGGTGTTGCCTCATTTTGCAGGTGTGAGAACGGAGGCCCAGAGTCACAAAGCTAAAAGGCAGTGGGCTTGGTTGTCCTTGTGAGTGAGGCTCTTGCCGCCAAGGCTCCTGTGTCAGGCCTGGCCCTGGCCCGGTGTCGGCTGGCTGCAGGAGGCTCAGGGCAGGGAAGTGACGTGGGGCACCCTCCGCGCTCTGTCCCTCAGCCACAGACAGCTAGAGCAGCTGGAAGTGAAGCGCTCGGGGCTGGCCAGGGAGCTGGTGGAGGTGAGGGAGGCGCTGAGCCGCGCCACACTGCAGCGGGACGTGCTGCAGGCCGAGAAGGCGGAGGTGGCCGAGGCGCTGACCAAGGTGGGTCCCCGTTTGCCGCACAACCGCAAACCTACCTCTGAGCCAGGCCCCGGCCCCCCTCACTCTGGCACAGACCGATACCTCTCTCAGGCTGACCTCTGAGCCTGGTCGTAGACTGACCCCTTCCTTCTGGACATAGGCTGACCTTTGACCCAGGCCGCAGACTGACCTCTGCTCCCAGCCCTAAGAGGCTTGACCTCTCTTAATGGCCATATCCCTGCTTTTCCAGATGCTCCTGGGGGCAGTGCCTGTAATTCAGGGTCATCTATGCCGTCTCTGGACACAGGGCCTCGGGTCTGTGAGAGTTGGGGCCGCAGTCCAGAGCGTCCTCGGTGGGGGCCTGTCCCACTCCCTGCAGCCTGCCCCTGAGCAGTGCCACCCCAGAGCCTACTTGGGGGGACCCTCTGATCTCTGGCCCTGTTCTTGCACAGCTCTGCCCTTTGTGGCTTCTTTTAAATAGCTTTGTAAGCAGCCGGCCTTCTGCAGTGATTTTCCCATCTCTTGTCTCCTCCGTGTCCTCCCACCCTATCTCTGAGGGTCCCTCCCCTGTGTCTCTCGTCTCTTCCCACCTCCCCACCCTCCTGCTGCTGCTCATCTCACCCCTCTCCCTGCCTGAGTGTCTCTGGCCGCCTGGTCTGACTCTGCAGGCTGAGGCTGGCCGCGCGGAGCTCGAGCTCTCCATGACCAAGCTGCGGGCAGAGGAGGCCTCTCTGCGGGACTCCTTGTCCAAGCTGAGCGCCCTCAACGAGAGCCTCGCTCAGGACAAGCTGGGCCTGAACCACCTCGTCGCCCAGGTACGCTGTGCACCAGCCTCACCCACCTGTCCTCAGTGAGACCAGCCCGGTACCCGTCTGTCTTGGTCCCTGCCTCTCTTTCCGTCTCTGTCGTTCTCTGACTCTGTCTGTCTGTCTGTCTTCTCTTTCTTGGTATCAGAGCAAAGAAGCCCCATGGGCCCTCCTCTGTTCGTCCTCCTCCCCAGTGTCCACACACCCAAGGGCACTTCCCCCTACCCCCAGAGCCTCCCCTGGGCTGGCTGTCATGGGTGGGTGGGTGGAGGAGGCATCCCTGGTCCTGGGAGGGACCCCTGCTCACTGGGCCCCTCCCCCACCCCTGCCCGGCCCCCCAGCTGGAGGAGGAAAAGGCAGCCCTGCTGGGCCGGCAGCGGCAGGCGGAGCAGGAGGCCACCTTGGCGCGGGAGGAGCAGGAGCGGCTGGAGCAGTTGCAGCTGGAGCAGGAGGTGGCTCGGCAGGGCCTGGAGGGCTCCCTGCACGTGGCGGAGCAGGCCCGGGAGGTGCTGGAGCAGCAGCTCCCCACGCTGCGCCACGAGTGCAGCCGGCTGCAGGAGCAGCTGGCCCAGGTGGGCACAGCGTGGTGTATCTGGGGGTAGGGAGCAGGTGGGGGCTGGGCTCCCTGGCTCCTGCATCCTGTCCTGGGGTGAGTCGCAGGTGCAGGAACCCACTTCTGGGTTAAATCTGGTTCCACCTTTGCTAGCTGGGGACCTTGAACGAGCTACCCAACCTCCCCCTGCCTCAGTCGCCCCTCTGTAACATGGGGCTAAGAGTCCTCATCACAGAGGGTGATTCTGAAGAATGCATGGGAAAACCTGCGTAAGCACTTGGCAGAGGACGATCTGGCCCCGAGTTGCCACTCGATACAGATTAATCATGTGATAATGGATACAGACATTTAGAATTGGAATCTTAGACTTTTGGGGACTTCTTAGCTGGAAGGGACTTTAAGGCTTCAGGGATCCAGGGACCTTTATGCAGTGTCTATCCTGGAGGGTCTCTTGGACATGGCCCAAGGGCTACAGGTCTCCCCCCCGGGGCCTGTTGAGTATCTCCCCTTGGGTCTGTTTTACATATTCAGCTTCTCTGCAAGCTTTGGGGTCAGGAAAGGGCTCTGGTACTCCCAAAGCTGAGTGAGGGTCCACGTTCTTCTACGCATGGGCATTGCAGGTCTAGAGAAGGCTGTGACTTGCCCAGGTACATACGGCACATCAGGGCAGAGCCTCCGGCCCGTCAGGCCAGAGCGGGGTCAGGCCCAGAGTCGGGGTGTTGCGTGACAGACAGGCTGGGGGATGCCGGGAGCCGTGCTCACGGTCCCTGGGGGGCCAGCTCTCCCGGCAGCTGAGCGGGCGGGAGCAGGAGCTGGAGCAGGCCCGGCGGGAGTCACACCGGCAGGTGGAGGCGCTGGAGCGAGTGGCCCGGGAGAAGGAGGCGCTGGCCAAGGAGCGGGCGGGCCTGGCCGTGCAGCTGGCGGCAGCGGAGCGTGAAGGCCGGACTCTGTCAGAGGAGGCCACACGCCTGCGGTAAGTCCATGGGCTCTGCCCAGCCTGCCCTGGGGGTTGTCCTGGGCCCACGCCATGACCAGTCTCGCCCAGGCATTGGCCCAGAGGGGCAGTTACTTAGGAGTCTGGCTTGCCAACATGTCCTAGCTCTGGCTTAAGCCTCCCCTGGGAACGCGGGCCCGGCCTGGCAGGTAGGTTGGCACTTGGCCCGTGGCTGGCCACGCCCTGAGATCCACAGTTTCCTGGGGCCGGGGAGGCTGAATCCCAAGGCCTCACGGCCTGTGTGTGCTGCAGTTTGGAGAAGGAAGCCCTGGAGAGCAGCCTGTTTGAGGTGCAGCGGCAGCTGGCCCAGCTCGAGGCCCGCCGGGAGCAGCTGGAAGCTGATGGGCAGGCCCTGCTGCTGGCCAAGGAGACCCTGACTGGTACGAGGGGCGGGGGGCTGGGAGACAGACTGCAACCTGTGAGTTCTGGGGTCTCAGAGAAGTTGGGAGCACTGGCATAGGAGTGAGGCTGCCCTGGGTTCCAATCCTGATTCTGCCACTTAGATCTAGTCTTCCCCTGAACGAGCCCCTTCCCTCTCTGGGCCGCAGATTCATCTGTGATAATTGGAGGTGATAATGGCCACTGAGCCTGTTGCCAGGACAAGGTGAGAAAAGCATGTAAGCGCCTTGGCGCAGTGCCCGGCCCGGTCAGCAGTGGCTGCTGTGTCATCATCGGGGCAGTTAGAGAGTTCTGAGTTCTCTGCGGAGCCATCAGGTGCTTCTTGGATGACTCTTGGCCCCACAGTCTCAGCCCCACCGCCCTGCCCGCCCCTCACCAGTCTCTGAACTCAGGGCTGCTTTCCCCACTCAGCACACGTTAACTAAGCACCTACTTGGGTCGTGGAAATTAATTTGCCTGTCCATGTACACCTGAGCCAGACAAACCAGGAAGGGAAATGCTGGCGGGATTCCAACCCAGGAGATGGTTTTTAGATGCTCCACTGTGGGGTGTCCCCTCCCCATAGTCACCTCCACATGTACCGACAGTTAATGCTCAGCCAAGTGTGTTATGACAGCCGGCCATTAAAGGCGATGCTTCGTGGAAAACTGCAGCTTTGGGAAAACATGATCTCTGCGCCTCTGTTCCATCATCTGTAAATGGGGTGCGCGACACTCACGGCATGCTAGGACGCCGAAATGAAATCATGTCTAGAAAGCGCTTGGCCAGGTGGCCCGACCCATAGTGAGTGGGCTGTTCTCAGTAACAGGGCTGTTCTCTCTTTGATATCCTTCCCATGCATGGGAAGGATATCCCTTCTCATCAGTCGTTTTATGATTGATTGATGCTGTTCTAGGGAGGCAGAGAGAGGACAGGACCAGTGGGCTCGTGCAGCAGATGGGGAACCTGAGGCCCAGAGGGGGCGAGCCACTTCTTCAAGGGAGCCCAGCCTAGATGCCAAGCGGGCCCTCTCTGCTTTGGGATTTTGCTCACCTGGCCTAAGTCTGCTGGCTCCAGGGGAGGTTTTGACTCAACCCTGCCCTTTCCCCCAACCCTCTCGTGCAGGGGAGCTGGCGGGCCTGCGGCAGCAGATAGTAACAACAGAGGAGAAAGCGGCTCTCGACAAGGAGCTGATGGCGCAGAAGCTGGTGCAGGCGGAGCGGGAGGCCCAGGCCTCTCTGCGGGAGCAGCGGGCAGCCCACGAGGAGGACTTGCAGAGACTCCAGCGAGAGAAGGTACGGGCAGCTGGGTAGGGGCGGGCAGGACTCTGGTCTCCTCTGTGACCTCAGGCGAGTCATCCTTCTTGCTCTGCCTCAGTTTCCACATCTGTGAAATGGGACTTCTTCTCTGCCATGGAGGCCCTGGGGGCAGTGGGAAGACCCATGGGGGGGATCCTTTTTTTTTTTTTGAGACAGAGTCACCACTCTGTTGTCAGCCCAGAGTGAAGTTGTCATTGCTCACTGTAACCTCAAAGTCCTGGGCTTAAGCGATCCTCCTGCCTCAGCTTCCCAAGTAGCTGGTACTACAGGCATGTACCACCATGCCTGGCTAATTTTTTCTATTTTTAGTAGAGACGGAGTCTTGCTCTTGCTTAGGCTGGTCTCAAGCTCCTGAGCTCAAGCAGTCCTCCCCCCTTGGCCTCCCAGAGTGCTAGGATTACAGGTGTGAGCCACCACGTCCGGCTAGCAAATCCTTATTAAACATGCAGATTCACAGGTCCCATATCTGTTCCAGTCCTGGTGATCTGAATATGGGGGGTCCACAGCCACATTTAAGAAATGCTGACATAATGTGTAGCAGAAAAGCACTGTTATTTGCTAAGAAGTACTGTTTGCATATGAAGGCTCACTCTGGAACATTAGCATTTAGGCAGGCCAGGGGCCAGGGAAGTTAGTAGAACACCGGCTCTAGGATTGTACTGCCTGTGCTTGACTCTGATCCTGGTCACATACTGGTGATACTACCTAAGGTCTCTGTGCCGTCATTTCCCCATCTGTAGAAATGAGGAAAGGATGGTGTAAGGAATTATGAGGACAAGGTGAGATAATCCATATAAAGGGCTTAGCGTAGTGACTGGGCACTTAGCAAATGCCCCATAAATTATTACTGCTGGTACTGGGGAACTCTCCAGTGTGGCCTCAAGATACGGGCCCTGTGCCCTGCCTGGACAGGGCTGCCTCCGACAGAGGTTCAGGCTGCGCCCCATCACGCTAGTGGGCGCCATTCACTCTGTAGTTGCCACGGCCTGGGGTAGGTGTTATCACGCTTCTCCAGCAGGTGGCATTTGGAAAAGGGGCGCCACTGTCTGCTTTTTGCAAACTTGCTGGGGCCAGCGCTGGGGCCAGGCACCTGCCCCTGGCCTGAGTGGGCTATTCTTTGCCCGTGGGCTCTACCTGCCTTACCTGTCCAGTCCCCAGGGAGCCAAACTGCCATGAACCCCCCTTACAATTCTTACCCCTACACTGCCTGGCTTGGCCTGATTAATGTCCCCAGATCTGTGCTCTTCTCTCCAGCTCTGCCACCCCAGAGCCCCTGCAATCCTCACAGCCGATCCCACCTCCTCTCTGCCCCAGCCCCGATCTCCCTTCCACAGCTGTCAGAACATCGCCCCGATCTAAAACCCAGATTGCTCCTTGTCACCCTGGCCTGACCCCACTGTCCTCAGAATCCCTCCGCACACACAGCCCGGCCCTGCCTAGCTGCGTCTGGGGCCCTGGCCCCATGGCTCCCCTCGCCCCCTCGGGTTCCCGGGCGTCCTGTGTGCTCTTTCCTCCAGGCCTCTGCAAGGCTGTGCTCTTGGCTGGGGGTCCACAGCCCCGGCTGTCCCCGTCACAGCCCTTACCATCCCGCTGTCCCTGTCACAGCCCTTACCATCCCGTCGTGTAGTTACCTGGTCACCTACCGCGTCTCGCGGGGTGCAGGGCCCTTGCTGCCCTGAGGTTTGCGGGGGCTGCCTGGGCTGCACCTGGTATGTCACACGTGCTGGCCCTGGCCCCCAGGAGGCAGCGTGGCGGGAGCTGGAGGCAGAGCGGGCCCAGCTGCAGGGGCAGCTGCAGCGGGAGCGGGAGGAGCTGCTGGCCCGGCTGGAGGCCGAGAAGGAGGAGCTGAGCGAGGAGATCGCAGCCCTGCAGCAGGAGCGAGACGAGGGCCTGCTCCTGGCCGAGAGCGAGAAGCAGCAGGTGCGTGAGTCCTGGTGCCGCCCGAGGGGCCCCTGTTTGGGGCTGGTCCCTGCTTGGCCACCCAGCAGCTAGGAGCCCTGGGGCAGGCCACTTGCCTCTCTGGGCCTCAGTTTCCTCACCTGTGGGATAGGAGAATGAGAGGGGGGCCTGTGAGGCATCGCTGCACTCCATGCCTGGCTTGCCCTGGGCAAGTGCCAAGGGACAGTGACAGGACACCAGGAAAACTGTCCCGCATTCTCCCACCCCTCATCCCACTCAGGCTGGGCACGGCGCCCTCATGACAGCCTTCCGAGCAGTCCCAGATGCCCGCAGGCATCAGCTGACCCTCGCCCCAAAGAACTAATTCCTGCCTTTCCCATAATGTAATGGAGACAGGGCAGACTGCATCCATCTCCTCTCCTTGCCAGCCGTGTCAGCCTGGGCAAGTCATCTCAGCTCTTTGAGCCCAGTGTCCTCATCTGTAAAATGGGAATGATGAAAGGCTCAGTTTTAGGGTTGTGGTGGCAAGTTAGTGAGATCTGTAAGTTGTACCGTGTGCAGGGTTCTTGTGGCTGCTCTCGTACCCTTTTCCAGGGCTGTATCTCTGCCCTGCTTCCGCCAGTGGTGGCCCACTCGGGCCACTGAGCCTCCAGGGGGCATGTTGCCCAGGGCAGGGTGAGGGAGAGGCCCGGGCATGCCCCCAGGATCAGCCGAGCCCCACGCCGTTTGCTCCCTGCCCTGCCCAGGCCTTGTCTCTGAAGGAGTCCGAGAAGGCGGCGCTGTCAGAGAAGCTGATGGGCACGCAGCACAGCCTGGCCGCCGTCTCCCTGGAGCTGGAGCGGCAGAAACGCGACGCTCAGAGCCGGCAGGAGCAGGACCGGGTAGGCGGGCTGGGCAGCCGGGCCCCATCTGCATGGAGAAGCACGTCCTGCCCCTTCCGGGCACTGTCCCTCTCCGAGGAGCCCCCATCTGAAGGGGAGGTGTGGCCCTGCCCTGGAGAAGCCTCCAGGCTGTGGGGGGAGGCTCAGCCCTTCCTTTGGGAGTCCCCATCCGAGGGAGGGGCACAGCTCTGCCCTGGCAGATCCTCCAGCATAAGGGAGAGACCAGCCACGGGGACAGCATGGGGACAGCATTCACTGCATCGAGGGGTTTGGAGAGGGTGAGGCAGGCCAGCGGGAGGGGCGCGTTTGGAGCTGAAAGTGGACGGTTCAGCCGGCCCCTTGGGAGCAGCAGGGGGCAGGGGCACAGCAGGACCGAGTCTGAAGAGCCCGTCTGTCCCAGAGCACGGTGAACACCCTGACGTCTGAGCTCCGGGACTTGCGGGCCCAGCTGGAGGACGCCGCTGCGGCCCACGCCCACGAGGCGAAGAGGCTGCAAGAGCAGGCCCGCGACCTGGGCAAGCAGCGGGAGTCCTGCCTGCGCGAGGTGAGCCGCCGCCCCACCTTTCCGGGCAGCACACGCTACGTGGCTAAATGGTGGGGGCCCCCGAAGAGTGTAGGATTCCTCCCTGCATTTGAGGACAAATGGGCAGCCAACTTAGAAAGGAGACAGCAAGCGTTTACTAAGCACCTGTTGTGTACAGGTGGACTCGGGGGCTTCAAGGAGGGGTGAGTGTGGTCCCCGCCCTCTTGGCGTCGCCCACGGGACCTGACTGATGATTTCAGGCCAACACGCTGCTGGCCCGCGCAGCCTTGCCCGAATCACAGCTCACAGCTTGCGGGCCGAGTCGCGGCGGAGGGTGGGGCAGGCGCCCTGTGGCCAGGGGTGTGGGGTTCAGGCCCAGCTTGCACAGGGCCCTGACCGCCGTCCCGTGGACGCCCGCTGTGCTCGCAGGCAGAAGAGCTTCGGACCCAGCTGCGCCTGTCGGAGGACGCCCGGGACGCGCTGCGGCGGGAGCTGCTGGAGGCCCAGCGCAAGGTGCGGGAGGCCCAGGAGGGCTGCGAGGCCCAGCGCCAGGAGGCCGGCGAGCTGCGGCGCAGCCTGGGCGAGGGCGCCAAGGAGCGCGAGGCCCTGCGGCGCTCCAACGAGGAGCTGCGGGCCGCCGTGAAGAAGGCGGAGAGCGAGCGCATCAGGTGGGTGACGCCGGGAGCCAGCCCCGAGTCCTTCACCGAGCCCCGTCCTTCTCATGGAATCTCCTCCCTGGAACCCAACTTCACACCCTGGGGTTCTGGGGACTTGCACAGATGCGGACTCTGCGTCCCCTAACCGCAGCCCAGCACGTGCCCATTTTAGGGGGTTTTCTTCCCTGTCTCATGAGGAGGGGGGAAGTAGGCAGGGGTGGGCACAGACTCGGGCCCACCTGTTGTCTGTCATCACCCTGAAAATCAGGCTCCCTCCTGGAGTCACTGGCCCACCCCTCCCAGCTGAGGTCCTGGCCCCCATCCCCGGGGAAGTCAGCTCAAGAGGGGACATGTGGGCGGCCAGCACTTGAGGCGCCTGTAGGCCGAGAACCTGCCGGACCCACTCCGGGAATGGGGGAAGGGACTTCAGTGTAGAGCCGTAGACTGTACTCTTCCCAGGACCCAGCCTCTGCCCTCTGCCCTCTCCAGCCTGAAGCTTGCCAACGAGGACAAGGAGCAGAAGCTGGCACTCCTAGAGGAGGCCCGGGCCGCCGTGGGCAAGGAGGCCGGGGAGCTGCGGGCCGGCCTGCAGGAGGTGGAGCGCTCACGGCTGGAGGCTCGGCGGGAGCTGCAGGAGCTGCGGCGGCAGGTACCCCTGGCCCCCGTGTCACCCCTATCCCGGGGCTTGCTGTGTGCCCCGGGGCCAGTAGCACCCTCTTTCTGGAGTTGAGACATCCCACACGTAAAACCAGGGTTTTGAACTACAACAAGGCTTCTCACCCAACCTTGGTATGCATGGGTGCGAGGAGTCCTCGAGCCCCCGAAACTGGGTGCAAAGTCTGTGCGTTTGTGCGCACGCAGGCTCTCGTTTCCCCAGGGAGGGGGCCGGAGCTCCCGTCCAGTTCTCAGAGCAATCTGTGAGCGACAAAAGGTGTAGATTTCAGGAACTAGATCGGGGGCTGGCAAACTCTTTTTGTAAAGAGCCAAATGGTAAAAATATTCCAGCTTTCCGGCTGTGCAGCCCATTGCAACCACTCAGCTCTGCGCAGTCCCCGCAGTGCGCGGACAGGCGGCCTGCGGTCCAGTGAAGCTTCACTTATGGACACTGGAATTGCAGTTTCCCATCATTTCATGAGTCAACAAATACTGTTCTTTCTTTGATTTTCTTTCAATCATGTAGAAATGAACCATTTTCAACTATTTAAAAATGTAAAAAAAAAAAACAAAAAAAACCATCCTTAGCTCACACACCTAAAAGAACAGGAGACCAGCTGAACTTGGCCTGTGGACTGAAGTGTGTTGACCCCTGAACTAGACAATCTCCAAACTCATCCACCACAGCAAACATTTAACAGTGCTTGCTGTATACTGGGCACTGCCCTGGACACGGTGGGCTCAGGTTTCCCACTCTAGAAGACTCAAAGAACAGGAAACAGCCTCCTAGGCTCTGCCCTACCTGGAGATATCACAGCCTGATAGCCAGAGATATGACAGCCTGGACAACTAATCCTCTCCAACCCCCGCCGCAGCCCCCCCCAAACCAAAGCTCCTTCCTGGGATGCCACAGGAGTCCCTGAAATGAACTGCCATTCGTGTGCCAGGTGTTGTATGCCACAGCACTATCTCATGTCACCCTCATGGTAGTGCAGTAGGGTAGCTAGGCATAACCCCCATCTGCTCCTGGGGAAATAGGGGCTTAGAATCCACAGTGGCATTCCACTTGTCTGGGATCAAAGCCCAGTCTGCTGCCTGTGGGCTGTGTGACCTTGGGCAAGTCACTTTAACTCTCTGAGCCTCAGTTTTCTTATCTTTTAAATAGGGATGTTAGTACCCACCCCTGTTTGAAGATTAAATGAATTTGTATAAATGAAGTACTTAGATCAGAGCTAGACACATGACAAGCCCTCCAAAAAAGTTAATTATCATTGCAGAGGTGGAAGGTCACCCAGAGAGCTGTGGTCCCTGCCCTGTGGAAGTCCTGGTCTCATAAGGGCTCAGTCTTCCCTCCTCCTACCCCCCCGAAAGGTAGTTTTGAGTCTGTTGATGGAGTGGTAAACAGACCATTGGTGCCTAGGTGCCTGGCATGGCTTGAGCTCGGTGTGGTCGTCTGGGGCAGGCTCCGTGGATTTGGTGTGGTATCCGATGCATGCATCCCTAGAGCAGCGGGTCTCGAGAGCCTCCCGGGCCAGGGTGGGGCAGGGTGCAGGGGCAGAGCCGAACCAGCTGCCGTTCCCACTCTCTGTCTCCCAGATGAAGATGCTGGACAGTGAGAACGCCAGGCTGGGCCGGGAGCTGGCAGAGCTGCAGGGCCGCCTGGCGCTGGGTGAGCGGGCAGAGAAGGAGAGCAGGCGGGAGACCCTGGGCCTCCGGCAGAGGCTGCTGAAGGGCGAGGCCAGCATGGAGGCGGTGCGACAGGAGGTAACCGGGCAGGTGGACGGGCTGCCGGGGAAGTAGATGGGCTGCCCTGTGCCTCTCTCCTCCCTCCAGCAGGAAGCAGATGGGCACTCCAATGCTGGAGTCACTCTGAGACCACTCCCTGGGACTTGTTCCTGTCCCCGACTCCTTGAGACTCTTCCCCAGTTATAATAACAACTGAAAGAACCATGGGTCTACTATGTGCAGGCACACAACTGGGGGATGGGGGCCAGGCTCTGTAGGCATGACCTTGTTCCGTTCTCCCAGTAGCCCCATGAGGTAGGTACCTTTAGCTCCATTTTACAGAGAGATCTAGACACAGAGGCTCAGAGAGGTCAAGGGATCTATTCAAGGTCACACAGCCACTCAGGTCTGTCCGACTCCAAAGACTTCACTCTTTCCACTCAGCCCTTTCTGGCTTTTTAACTGCCTAGAGTCTACTGTGTGACCTTGACCATGACCTTCTTCACAGCGCTCATGGGAGAGGGGCTGGCACAGCAGGGGGGGTGTGAAGGGCCCTGGCACAGGTCCTGGCACCCAGGTGGTGCTCAGAAGTGGGGTTTCAGTGAAACCAATGACCAAGAGCAGTTGACTCCTAAACCAGAGGGTTGGTTTTGTGTGTGCCCATACCTCCCATTAGTCAATAATTATTTACACACCCCCATGTGTGCAGATCTATTGATAAATTACGTGGACTGAGGCCGTGTTGCCTAGTAGTTAAGAGAACAGCCTCTGGAGCTGGAGCTTTGAATCCCAGCTCTGCAGCTTAGTAGCTGTGTGGCCTTGGACAAGATAACTTCTCTGTGCCTCAGTTTCATCTTCTATTAAATAAGGATGATTCATAGAGTAGTATTCAGAGTTAATTTTTTTTTGGAAAGTACTTAGTGCCTGGCCATAAGTCCTATCTATATAAGTGTTAACTATTATTACTAATAAGCGATGTACATTGCAAGGCATAGATACACAAGGAAGGGATAAAAAACTAATAATTTCCTCCCCCACTCCGTGGACGTTCTTGCACAGCCTGCTTGAGTGCACACCACTAAAGGAGCAGGTGTTGTGCTGGCCACGTGGACGGTGGGCTCCAGGCTGGGCCTGGGAGGTGGGGTGTCGGTGGGGGCGGCCTTGCTGACCCCGGGCTTCGCATCTGCCCCAGCTCCAGGGAACCCAGCGGAAGCTACAGGAGCAAGAAGGCGAGTTCCGGGCCCGCGAGCGAGGCCTGCTGGGCTCCCTGGAGGAGGCGCGCTGCGCTGAGAAGCAGCAGCTGGCCCATGTCCGCAGCCTGGAGCTGAAGCTGGAGGCGGCGCGGGCCGAGGCCACGGAGCTGGGGCTGCAGCTGAGTGCGGCCCAGGGCCGGGCGCAAGGCCTGGAGGCCGAGCTGGCCCGCGTGGAGGCGCAGCGGCGCGCAGCGGAGGCGCAGCTGGGCGGCCTGCGATCCGCCCTGCGCAGGGGCCTGGGCCTGGGCCGTGCGCCCAGCCCCGCCCCGCGGCCCCCGCCCGGCTCTCCCGCCCTTGACGCGCCTACCGGAGGTGAGCGCCGCGGGCTGCAGACCAGGCGGGGAGGGCCGGGGGCGGGCCTCGCGGAGTCCCCGCCCATGGTCCCGCCCCCGCGTCACCCTCAGAGTTTCAAGGAGCCCACCCTTCGCTGGGCCACGCCCCTCTGCCAAGGTCTGCTCTGGCCACGCCCCCTCGCCGAGGCTCCTCCCTTCACCGATCCGTGCCTTGGTCGCCTCTTTTCAGAGGAGAGGCTCTTTTTGAGACAGTCTCGCTCTGTCGCCCAGGATAGAGTGCCCTGGCATCATCCTGGCTCACGGCAACCTCAAACTGCTGGACCCATGCGGTCCTCCTGCCTCAGCCTCCAAGTACCTGGGACTAGGGAATTATGCCCTGACGCCTGGCTAATTTTTCTATTTTTAGTAGAGACGGGTCTCGCTCTTGCTCAGGCTGGTCTCGAACTCCTGACCTCGAGCGATCCTCCCACCTCGGCCTCCCAGAGTGCTGGGATTACAGGAGTGAGCCACCGCACCCAGCCTAGGGGGCCATTTTTCAGTGCTTCTAACTCATTTTCTCATTTTTCGAGCCTCCAGCCTCTAAATTGACCCCTGGCCTGTCTATCAGCACCCCCCACCCTTTTCAGCCTCTTGTGCCAGCTCCGCACCCTTTCATCATCTCCCCCAGACACATACACAGCCTGGCCTGACCCCCTTCCAGGAACTCCTTCTCAAGAGTTCCTGGCTGCACCTGCTCCCATGTCCCGGGGATGATGCTGGGGAAATGAGCGTGTGTCCGGGGTGGGAGCGGCCTCTGCGGGGCATTCATCTTGTCTCAGCCAGACTCGAACCTGCGGAATCTTAGAACTGTAAGGAATGGACCACGGGATCTTGAGTCATTGCCTCTTCAAATCCACACATTTAGCCCCGGGATCACATTTATTCATTCAATCGCTCAATGTTTATTAAGCACCTACTGTGTGCCAAATGCAGTTTAAGCTCAGGGGTGGAGCAGTAAACAAAGTGACAAGCACGTCTGCTCTTACGGTGCTTATGGTCTAGCCTTGGGAGTAACAGACAATAAATGTGATACTTAAATGAAATATAGAATATATCGGGTGGTGGTAAGGGCTGGAAAAATAGGTAAGGAAAAACCAGGCAAGGGACACTGCTGTTGGGAATGTAAAATGGCAAAGCCACTGTGGAAAACAGTTGGGCAGTTCTTTGAAAAGCTAAAAATAGAATTACCGCAGACCCAGCAATTCCTCTCCTAGGTATATGTCCCAAAGAATTGAAAACAGGGACTTGAGCAGACACCGGAACACCAGTGTTTATCGCAGCATTGCTCACAGTAGTCACAGGTGGAAACAACCCAAGTGTCCAGCAGATCAATGGATAAACCAAATGTGGTACTTACATGCAGCGGAATGTTATTCAGCCTTAAAAAGGAATAACTGAGATGTGGTTCCACATGAATAAGCCTCAGGGACATTACGCTAAGTGAAAGAAGCAGTCGCCAAAGGGTAAATACATTATGATTCCACTTAAGTGAAATATCTATAATAGGCCAATTCATAGAGACAGCAGATTAGAGGTCACCAGGGGCTGAGGAAGGGGGGTAATTGGGAGTTATTGCTTTATCCAGAAGTTACAGTTTGTTTGGGGCTGTCCTAGATTTATTTCCAGGCCTGCTGTAACAGTTGTCCCTTGTTATCCGAGGGGAATTCGTTCCAGAACCTGCTTGGATGCTAAAATCCATGGATGCTCAAGTCCCTGGATATAAAATGTTGTAGCATTTGCATGTAATTTATGTTCATCCCCACCCCCCAAATACTTTAAATCATCTCTAGATGTAATTCACACTTCCAAATCATACACTTAAAAATGGTTAAAATAGTAATTTTTAGGCTAGGTATGGTGGCTCACGCCTGTAATTCTAGCACTCTGGGAGGCCGAGGCAGGAGGATCGTTTGAGGTCAGGAGTTTGAGACCAGCCTGAGCAAGAGTGAGACCTCTGTCTCTACTAAAAATAGAAAAAATTAGCTGGACATGGTGGTCCACACCTGTAGTACCTGCTACTTGAGAGGCCGAGGCAGGAGGATCACTTGAGCCCAGGAGTTTGAGGTTGCTGTGAGCTAGGCTGACACCATGGCACTCTAGCCCAGGCAACGGAGCAAGACTCTGTCTCAAAAAAAAAAATTTTTTTTTTTTTTAAGATAAAGGCAAGGGGGCTGTTTGTGCGGGGACAACGGGAGGCTTACCTGAGGTGTCAGGTAAGGGAAGGAAGGTCCTGAGGCAGCACAGGGGGAAGGGACTCTGAGGCCGAGTGTCAGTGCCCTGGCCAGCCCACCCCAGGGGCGACCAGCAGCCCAGAATGCTGCAGGCTAAGCCGTGAGGGCCTGCAGGCGAAGGGCCTGCTCACAGAGACCTTGCAGGCCACTACAAGGACTTTAACCCGAGGGGATGGGATCTTCCAGGCTGGAAGACCCTGGGAGCAGGGCGTGGAGGCCCTGCTCCTTTGGGAAGCTTTGGGTTGGGACTTTTGGGTGGTGACCCAGCTCGTGTCTGCAGGGCCAGTTAGGTGTCACTTGGCACAGGCTGGATCATGGCAGGCCCCTGTCCTGCAGTTCCAGTGTGGACCTCCAGGTGGCGCACCGACTCTGTCCGCCCTGCCCCCTCCTCCTCCCCATCTCCCAAGCCGAGCAGTTTTCTGCCTGGGAGTCAGGCTGCCTGGGTTCACATCCCGGCTCTGGAATCTCCCAGCTTTGAAACCGAGCAACTCACTTAACTGCTTTGAGCCTACCTTGCCTGGGAAGGGGCTAAATTTGTCTTTACCTGTCCGGAAGTGATGAGGATGAGATGGGGCAACATAGGGAAAGCGCTGGCCCAGTGCCTGGCACATAGTAAGTGCTCAGTGCAGGGAGATGTTGAGGTGATGGAGTGCCCACCCTGGGCTGGGCCCTGGGGACACAGGGTGGACAGGAGAAAGAGCACCTAACGGTGCTCCTCTGGGTGGGAGGCAGACACAGACCCCCACTGGGTGAGATGAGCTCACCCCGACCCAGCCTGGAGTCAGGGGCCCCCTGAGGGGTCAGTGGCCTACAGGATGGGTCAGGCAAGGAGGAACCATGGGGAGAGTGGGCAGCATGAACCCAGGCATCTGGGGCTGGTGCAGGGAATGTTCTAGAGAGAACGGAGGGTGATACAGAGTGGCCCGCTTACAAAGGGTGAGAGGGCGATTCAGCCAGGGTGGCCAACAGGGCCTCTGAGCTATGCAAAGGAGTCGGGCTTAATTCTGAGGGCTGTGGGGTTGGCTAAGTATTTTAAGCGAGAGAGATGTTGGAAGCAGCAGGGACAAAGGGAGTGAGATAGGTTTGGAGCCTGCGGCCACCCTCCAAGTAGGGGAGGTCAGTGGCTTCGGCATCTCTGAGTATGTCTTCTCTTCTAGGAAGCGAGGAAGGGCTCAGCAGCCCCGGCCCCTTGGAGTGCAGTCCTGGGGCCCAGCCTCTATCGCCAGGCCCTGCCATGTCCCCAGCACCTCCAGACCTGGACCCGGAGGCGGTGCGGGGGGCCCTCCGGGAATTCCTGCAGGAGCTGCGGGGAGCCCAGAGAGAACGGGTGAGCTTGGGCGTGAGTGGCTTGATAGGGACCGTGTGGCTGGGGACTCTGGGGGGTGCAGGGTGTCAGAGCAGGGTCTTCTCCTTCCCCCCATGCCGGCTGCAGGACAAGCTTCGGGCACAGACGAGTGCTCTGACTCGCCAGCTGGCTGAGATGGAGGCCGAGCGGGACAGCGTGACCTCGCGGGCCAGGCAGCTGCAGAAGGCCGTGGCCGAGAGTGAGGAAGGTAAGTGTGACTCCCAGGGCCCCAACTCTGCTCTCTTGTGTTCTGAGCCGCTGAGGGAGGAGCCTGGGGAATTGGCCTGTGTCCCTGCCCTGGTCCTGTGACCAGGGGACCTGGTCCTGCAGGGGACCCTCCCTGCCCAGCTTCACTCGTGTCCAGACCCATATGCCCTCAAGGTGCAGACAGTCTGGCCTGTGGTGGGCATTCTGTGGCCTGGTTCAGGTCTTGGGGCTGTGCCTGGCCATGCCTGACGGGGCGGGGTGGCGGCTGCAGCCCGGCGCAGTGTCAACGGGAGGCTGAGCGAGGCCCAGGCGGAGCTGGCACTGCAGGAGGAGAGTGTGCGGCGCAGCGAGCGGGAGCGCCGGGCCACGCTGGACCAGGTGGCCACACTGGAGAGGACCCTGCAGGCCACCGAGAGCGAGCTCCGGGCCAGCCAGGTGGGCAGGAGCTGAGGGCTGGCGGGGCGAGGGGAGGCTGTGGGTGCCGGAGGGGCTGTCCGAGCCCTGCCCTTGGTCTCTGTGCGTGTCTGCCCCAGTCTCCGCAGCACGCTGCAGCCAGCAGCCTTCGACTTTTCCTGCAGAAGCACGTTCTGATTCCATCATCTCGTTTCACTTTTTCTATAGCCTGGTGACATTTGGTCACTAGGCTGTAGGAAAAAGAGCTTGGGCTTTTGAGCCAGACAGACCTGGGTTCAAGTCCTGGCCCTGCTGTTATTGGCCTTGGGCCAGTCCACTGTCGGGTTCTCATTTTCCTCCTCGGGGAGAGGGAGGCCAACAGTTGTCTCACAGAGACGACGCACGTGAGCTCTCCGCACCCGGCTGGCGCTCGGGGGCCTCTGCTGTATGTCTTCACGTAGCCACACACGTGGTGTTCTCGGGCTTTTATGCGTGCTTGGGGGACCTCTGTGTTCACCTGGTGTACCTGTGTGCGTGTCTGTCTTTGTGTCTGGGCAGGAAGCCCAGGCCCAGGCGGTGCCCGTCCAGCCTGCCCTCTCGCAGCTGGAGCCCCCTCTCCTCTCCATTCCTCAGTCCCTGCAGTGCTGGCCCGAGACTCAGCCCCTGCCTCTGGCTCCGGGCCGGGCTTAGCTGGATTGTTGTGTCTGCGGCTTCATGTCTGGCCTTGGGCCCAGCCGCGGGGGCTGCAGGCGGAGGCCGGGAACAAAGCTGGGCAGGAGCCAGAGTGGGGGCGCCTGGGCCCAGACGGGGCAGGGTTGGGGCTCAGAGCAGGGGGCAGAGGGGCCAGGCTCGGGCTCGGGACTAGGGAGGCTGTAATAACACCCCCATTGGCCCACCCATCTCCAGGATAGTTACACGAATCAGAGGACCCCTGGTCTATCTTCCTGTCCTGTCAACACGCCCCAGGCCTCCTTTACTGCTCACCGCTGTGTGGGGGAGGGGGTGATCCCCTCAAACCCTAGGACAGTAGGGCCCACCCAGGGCTGCTGGGCTCAGTCCAGGTCACACATGCAGCTCTGGGCCCACCGCTGGAGTAGGGGTCAGCAGAGCAGGGGAAGGGCCCCGGAATCCACCTGTCACAGCCCCCTCCCCAGGGCTCCTATGAGCACCCAGGCTGTGGCACCCCCAGACCAATGCAGCACCCCCACTCTACAGATGTGAAACAGGGCCGAAGATTAGGAAGGGCAGTCTTGGGTCACACGGCCCGTGAGCCTTGGCCCAAACTGGACGGTGCTCGGGGATCCTCGTGTCCACTAATCGTGTGAACAGGGAGACCAAAGCCTCCAGGGGGTCTCAGGCTGGTCTCAGGTCCCCCCCACTTCCTCCCAAGGGTCAGGGCCATGGGGGAGGGCTATGGGGTGGACCGGACATCCGAGGCCTGAGCCCTCCCCCCGCAGGAGAAGATCAGCAAGATGAAGGCCAACGAGGTGAAGCTGGAGAGTGACAAGCGGCGCCTGAAGGAGGTGCTGGACGCCTCCGAGAGCCGCACCATCAAGCTCGAGCTGCAGCGGCGCTCACTCGAGGGGGAACTGCAGCGCAGCCGCCTGGGCCTGAGCGACCGCGAGGCCCAGGCCCAGGCCCTCCAGGATCGGGTGGACTCCCTGCAGAGACAGGTGGGCCCCGCCCCCACCCGCAACCCCAGCATCTGCATGCCCTGTGCCAAGCACTTTGCAGGAGCTAGGCAGTCCTCCCAACAAACACGTGAGGCAAGTATTATCATCATCCCCATTTCACAGATGAACAAATAGAGGCTGAGAGGTGATGTCATTGTCCAGAATCACATAGCTGTTATAATAAGAGGCGAAGGTAGAATTCAAGACTATTTGATGACAGAACCTGCATTTATAGAAGTCATGTGAGACAAGTTACAGATGTAGATTTTACTCATTTCCCTTTTTGCCTGAGCTGCTGAGAAGCTTACTGTAACTGAAATGCTCAGTAATGCTGCTAGCCCTGCGTGGACACCCACCAAAGTCAGAAACACAGAAAACTTCAAGGCTGTGGTGGTTACTGTTTCCCTTCTGTAGCAGGGAGGAAAGGGAATGAAGGCAGGGAAGAGCCCTGGGGGTCTGAGATAACCAGGTTGATGGTGTTCTGGGCAAGGGAAGTTAACTGGCAGCGTAACCCGGGCCCCAGTCGCAGCAGGTCGAGCCAATGAGAGTGCACAGGAAGAGTGGATATCAGTGATGGAGGCCCAGAGGTGGGCAGGGCTTGTGTTGGCACACCTGGTGGAGGTCACTGTGGGAGCAGAGGTATAGAGGCCAGATGGGAACAGAGCCCCTTGACTGTCCTGTCTGTCCTCCTGCCAGGTGGCAGACAGTGAGGTGAAGGCAGGGACTCTGCAGCTGACAGTGGAGCGGCTGAGTGGGGCCCTGGCCAAGGTGGAAGAGAGTGAGGGGACCCTGCGGGACAAGGTGCAGGGCCTGACACAGGCCCTGGCTCAGAGCAACACCAGCCTCACCAGCACCCAGGACAAGAATCTGCATTTACAGAAGGCTCTGACGGCCTGTGAACATGACCGTCAAGTGCTCCAGGTATGGGGGGGTCCAGGGTCTGGCTGGGGGTGGGCCCAGTGAGAGAGTCAGCCAACAAGAGCAGGCTTGGTAAGGAGCCAGCCAATGGGGCAGTCAGTTGGGGACTCTAAGTAGCCAGTCAATGGAAACAGGGTTTGAGGGAGGAGTGGGCCCAGTAGAGAGCATCAGCCAATGAGCGGAGGCTCTGGGATGGGGTGTGCCCAGTAAGAGAACAAGCCTACTAGTATAGGTTTGCGGGGACCCCAGTGCAGAGTTAATGGGGAGAGCTGGGGTGTGGTGGCTCCCGCCATATGCAGGTCAGTGGATAGGCCATGGGCCAGGCTTGCTGCCTGGTTCACCCTTCCAGTGAGATGACTCCGGGCTGCGAACCTGCCTGGAGGCAGAGTGGAGCGGGCCCTTTGCCTTAGGGCTCCCAGGCCAGCCTGGCACCGTTGGCCCTGTCCTGCAGGAACGGCTGGACGCTGCCCAGCAGGCGTTATCTGAGGCCCGGAAGCAGAGCAGCTCCCTGGGCGAGCAGGTGCAGACAGTGCGGGGCGAGCTGGCAGACCTGGAGCTGCAGCGGGCGGACGCGGAGGGCCAGCTGCAGCAGCTGAGGGAGGTGAGGGCCAGGGTGGGGACCTTTGTCCCCCGGTCTGTGAGTCCCTGGGTTGGGGTGGGGACCTTTCCATCCATCTCAAGCTTATCCCAAATCCTGGCCTCCAATGAGGACACATGGAGAAACTGAGGCTCAGGGGAACTGGCTGGCCTCAGGGACCAGTTCTCCAGTGTGGGTCTCACAGTTGCCCACGGAGCGAGTGGACAGGGCCAGCAGCAGCAGCATCCCAAGCTGCAGGTGGACACGCCGAGCCACAGGGCTGAGGCCTGGCTTGCGTTGCAGGTGCTGCGGCAGCGGCAGGAGGGTGAGGCCGCGGCTCTGCACACCGTCCAGAAGCTGCAGGACGAGCGGCGGCTGCTGCAGGAGCGCCTGGGCAGCCTGCAGCGCGCCCTGACTCAGCTGGAAGCCGAGAAGCGGGAGGTGGAGCGCTCGGCCCTGCGGCTGGAGAAGGACCGCGTGGCCCTCAGGAGGACGCTGGACAAGGTGGGCTGCTCCCCTCACGTCCTCTGCGGCCTCGCCGTGGTCCTGGCTGCACGTGCCCAGGGTCTGCGGCCTCTGCCGGTGTTAGGCTATTCCACTGGGGTTCCGAACCTGAGAGCCCCTCTCCAGCCCCTGATCCCCTCCTGCCCACCCCGCCTAGGTGGAGCGGGAGAAGCTTCGCAGCCACGAGGACACGGTGCGGCTGAGCGCGGAGAAGGGCCGCCTGGACCGCACACTCTCAGGCGCTGAGCTGGAGCTGGCCGAGGCCCAGAGGCAGATCCAGCAGCTGGAGGTCTGGCCCCGCCCACCCAGCCAAGGCCCCAGCTTCATCCCCAGCCTCAGTGCCACGCAGTCCCCGGGGGCCGGGGGCCTTTGACCCCCGCCACCCCAGAGCCTGGAGCCTTGGAGGGGTGTCCCATCCGGGCCACAGAGGGGGTTCTCCCCAAGAGAACCCCTTTCTGTTCTCCCCAAGTACAGAAAAGCTACTAAAGGCCTATTAGCATGTGACCCTGTGGGTGGGTTCATATATGTCGTACACATGTAGCAGTATGAGTGTCCATGTGAGTATTCTTGTGCACATAGCATAGATCTCGTGCACTGTGTGGCATGTCTAGAGATTTTAATACAAGTGTTTGTGTACAGGTGTTTTCATGTATGTAGATGTGTAGGAGTATTGGGCTTTCACACGTATGTATGCACCTGTGTGAACCTGGCTAAGTATTTACATGCTTGCCTTTGTGCCTGTGTGTCTCACATTTGAGTATGTCTGTGTGTGCGTGTGCGTGCACATGTGCGTGTGCAGGTGTGCGCGCCCGTCTGAGTGAGGGTCGCCGGGATTCGCAGGCTCACTGTGAGGGCCAGCAGGATGGGGAAGAGGAAGGATCTGTCTTGCTTCCCCATCTGTGCTGGCTGTGCCCCAGGGAGGTCACACACGCATACACTCTGCGCCAGGACCCTGACAGCAGCCCCTCCCTGCAGGCCCAGGTGGTGGCGCTGGAGCAGAACCCGAGCCCGGCCCAGCTGGAGGAGGACGAGCAGCAGCGGCTGGAGCTGCAGCAGGAGGTGGAGCGCTTGCGCAGCGCCCAGGCGCAGACCGAGCGCACCCTGGAGGCGCGGGAGCGCGCCCACCGCCAGAGGGTGCGCGGGCTGGAGGAGCAGGTGTGCAGCCCTGGGGGGAACTGGGCCAGGATGGAAGTGTGGGGCTGGAGGAAGAGGAGGGGGAGAGGGCTGCTGGGGACCTCAGTGTAAGCAGTCCATGGCTCCCAAAACGGAACAGGGCGGTGGGTCTGGTATCAGCCATGGTTGGGCCAGAAGTTTCAGTGGTGCTCCTAGGACTCAGCCCCTCTCCCATGCTCTGCTGTCCTCTGGCTCCTGCCCAGGGCGGCCCTCTCCCTCGGGGCACAGGTGGCCTCTGCAGCTCCAGCCTCAGTTTCTTCCAGCAACCTGTGATTACGGGGATGGGGAGGGGGGCCTTCCTCCTGAGAGCACCAGCAACAGTCCCAGGGGTGAGTCCCCACCGCCTGCTTGGATCACAGGCCCTTCCTGACCGAGTCTGTAGGGCAGGGCTGCTCGGATGGGCCGGGCCTGGATCACACGTCCACCCCTCGAGTCTGGGCTAGAGACGGGTCCACCCAAATGATGGGGATAAAGGATGTTGGGGGGTGGCCCCCAAACCTGCTGAGTCCTCAGTAGACACCTGGCTGCCATAAGGAGCAACATGGGAAGGGAAGGACACCCCCGGCTCTTAGTGAGGTCTCGGGTCCCTCTGGGTTCCCCGCTGTGCCTCCCTTTGTCACAGGTGAGGCTGGGGACCTGGGCTGGCCTTACCTTCTCTTTCTCCCCCAGGTGTCCACACTGAAGGGACAGTTGCAGCAGGAGCTTCGAAGGAGCTCAGCACCCTTCTCCCCACTTTCTGGTCCCCCCGAGAAATGAGCCCCTTCCCGGCTGGCATCCAGAAAGCAGCCCTGTGCCCTCCTCAGCACAGTCCACCCGGGGCCTGGTCCTTTGGGGCCCCCGCGCTGGGGGTGAGGAGGAGCGGGTGGCAGGGCCGAGGAGGGCAGCTCCCGCTCCAGGCCAGACCCGGCAGTGGGTTCCTGGCATCCCCAGGCCCCATGGTCTGTGGGCCGAACCTCAGTCCAGCCCCACTCTGTACTCTAGATTGTACAGGGTTCCCCCGAGGGCAAGCGGCTGAGCCAAGCCGGGGCTGGGGAGCCCTTGTCTCTGGCCGGCCCTGGAGCATGGGCTCGTGGCAGGGGCCCGGGCAGGGGCCGGGGGCAGAGACCCAGGCCCGGAGACCTCTCCGCCTTAGTTCAGAGTGTTTGTCAGGAAGTTCTTCAGCGAGCTCAGAGTCCCTGTATTTTTATACCTTTTTACAATGTTAACTGTTCAGAACTATTTGTTTTTTGTAACAAGAAGACCCTGTTTTCTAAAACCGGTTTGTACAGATGTGTCCCTTTTCTGCTATTAGTGTGCCCTCTTCCTGGGAGGACTTGGGAGGGGGACAGGTAGGGCCTGGGCCAGGAGGGATGGGGCCCTCTAGGGAGGGGTGCTGGGGAGATGGGGGAGGCAGAGGCCTGTGTTGGGTAAGGAGCTTACCAGGCTCATAGGATCGGGGTGGGAGGCCCTGGGCATCCACCCCATTTAGCAGATGGGGCTGTTGAGGCCGGGGGCTGTGACCCAATCTGCACAGCTTTTCTTTGCCGCCCAAGCTGTCCTGCCTTCCTCTGCCCGCCCCCACCCCCAGATCGGCGCCGCCCCTCTGGTCAGTGACAGGCCTCCCAGGCAGCGTGGTGAACAAGGGCGGGGTTGGGAGTGAACACCGCATCTTGCCCTGGCTCCACTGAGTGATCCTGGGCAAAGCTGCTTAACCTCTTGAGCCTCGGTTTGCCCATCTGTAAAATGGGAATCTGCCTCACAGGCTGGCTCTGAGGAAGATCCCAGAGGAGGTGCCCAGTCGGTGTCTGAGGGAGGAATGATGCTAGTCGTCGTCTGTTGGAGTCCAACAGCCAGATCCTGCCACTTGCAGCGGGTGGACCCTCAGGGGGCTTAGTTGCGCTAAGATGAGGCTATGACCTGTACCCACCGCATACGCCTGTTTGAGGGTTAAACAGGACAGTGTGCTGAGGCTCACGCAGAGCCAGGTCCCAGTGCCGCTCAGCGGTCCCAGTGCCGCTCAGAGGGCAGTATGGTGACACTTGCTCTGCTTTGTCTCAACTGCACTGGCCTCCCTGCTCCGCCCCCAAAAGCTCCAATCTCAGGTCCATCTGCCTCGACCTCCTGCCTCCCTGCCCCTGGGGGCAGCATCCTCTCTTGGCTGCATCCCTCTGGTGACAGGGACTCACACCTTCACCTCGCAGCCCTGGTAATGAGAAAGCCGCATCCCTGAAACTTTCCATTTCCCACCCAGCGCCTGCGACCGCACGCAGGGGCCAGCACATGCTGGCGTGGCTCCTGCTCCTGTGCAGGGCAGGGCTGATGCGGGTGGGCGGGTGGCTCGGGACTGTAGCAGCCACAGGCACAGGAGTAGCCCTTGCTCTTGGGGGGCTGGGGAGCCTCTCGGTGGGGACAGGCAGTGTTGGAGGCACCAGGCTGCCCCTTCTGTGCTCTCAACTGAAAAAGTGACTCTGAATCTTTTGTAAAAACTTGTTTTTAATTTTGTATAAAACAAACAAAGGTGGTCCATGCCTAGGGGCTGTAGGAAATCCAAGCAGACCAGCTGGGATGAGAGACATGGCCTACCTCAGGGGACTGTCCTCAGAGGGGCTGAGAAGGCCCCAGGGGTCCGGGTCCCCCAGAGAGGCCTGAGGTGTCCCCCCCAAGGGGGCAGAGACTGGGCAGTGGGGAGCCCCGGTCACGCCCCAGGAGTAGCCACAGGCTGGGAGTGGGGCCTGAGGCACCACGGCCCACGCCCCAGGGCTGCAGTCCACTAACTTTGTATACGATACAGAGAACAGGGAATGTGGGGACAGGAGAAAGCACCAGGTCGGGTGGGGCCGAGGCCCCTAGATCTGAGCAGGGCGGGGCTCCACCCTAGCAACCCCCGCAGCTCCTGGCGCAGGAGGCTGCCACAGACTGGCACAGGCCACTGCTGGCCATCACGCCACATTTGGAGAACTTGTCCCGACACAGGTCAGCTGTTGGCAGGGCGGGAGGGAGGCGGAGGCGGGGGTCAGTGTGTGGCGGGGTGATGGGAGCCGCTACCCCTCCCCCACTCTGGTGCTGGGGCGGTGCTGAGGATGGACAGTAGGGAGGATGGGACCTCGGGGTGCCCTGGCAATGGCACATGCACGGCTGGCTAGGTAACGAAGTGGCCATGGGGCAGGGGACGCCTAGCGGAGGGGACTTCCTACCTCGGAGGAGCTCCTCGTGGGCACAGACTGTGCGGACACAGATCTCCTTGTTGACCACGTATACACGGCGGAGGCTGGGGGAGGAGGCCAGGAGGGGTCTCAGCTCCCCCTTCACCCACCCCCACTGGGACAGCCTGGACAGAACCTGGCATCGGAGCCCTGGAGTCAGGGTCCCAGGCCTGAACTGCTCCACAGAGTTGAGCTCAACTTCTGGATTCACGATTTTTCCCAAACTCCCACCTTGGCTGGCCAGAACCAGGTGTCCCCCACCCCCCTGGCCACCCTCATCCCCCCTAAAGTCCTCCCGACGGCGGCCCACCTGTGCTCACCTATAGAAGCAGACCTCGTTGAGACACTGTTTGCAAGGCTTGTGTATGGAGTAGAGGCGGGTGCACGGGTACTGCTCCTCGAGGCAGTCTGGGTGACAGGTAGGGTCAGACCTGGCCCAGAGCTGGGGGGCAGCCCCCAACCTCACCCACCTGAGACTGGCTCTCAGGGTCTGGGTCCCGCCTGTCCCCTCAGGCCCAGCCCAGACCCCCACCTACACATGCCCCACACGCACGCACAGCGCTGCTGGGCGCCCGGGCCGCCAGCTTTGAGGCAGTGCATCGATTCCCCACCGCAGTTACCAGCACACGTTCAAGCACACGCACGTTCTGCACGCACCCCGCACGGCCGTGGAAGTCCACGCCCACAGGCGCACGCAGTCACACCAGCTCACGCAAGGGCAAGCACACAGATTCTCCTGCTCACGTGCATCTCATTCGCTCAGGTTCTTGGCTGGGGCAGTGCCAGGGCCCCTCCTGGCTGGCAGGAAGCCCCGGCACACCTCTCGCCTACCCCCCAGTGTCTGTGAGGAGAGGGGGCTCCACAGGCCCAGGCCAACTCAGCCTCCAGCCAGGCCCCTGGAGGCAGGCTGGGGTCTCCAGCAGCTGCCGGGAGGGGGCCTGGAGCTGCCAGCCTGAAGCAGGGGCACGTCTGCAAGCTCCCTCCGCCCCCATGTTACCTCCCAGCAAGGGCAGAGGCCTCTGTCCTACCAGCGCCGCCCCCCACTTCACCCCAACTTCAGAGGCTGGGGCTGCGCCTCCGTTTCTCCAGCCATCAGGAAAGCGCTTACCCAGAGGCCCGGGCTCCGTGGGCTCCGTCTCTGCGTTTCCTGGTTCTGGTGGAGAGAGAGAGACAGAGGCGGGAGAGGGCCCTGGGAGGGTCTGATGCACAGACCCCTACTTCCAGGGTGCTGGGGAGATGGGGGAGGGGTGGGAGCAGGGGCTGTGGCCTACCTGGGGTGGGGGCTGGGATGACTTCCTGTTGGACTTGCTGCTGGGACTGGAACTGGAACTGCTCCTCCTCAGAGGGCCGAGAAGTCACCTCTGCAACCAGGGGAGGGTGAGGGGGTCTGCTCCCTCCTTCCCCTCCCAGGGCCCGTGAGCCCCCCGACTCCAGCCGCCAGGCCTTTACCTTGGTAATCATAGTAGTCTGGGTTGTCTGCAAACAGAGAGAATGTGGAATCAGTGGGGGTCAGGCCAGCCCCTAGCCCCAGGGGCAAATGAGGTCACAACTAAGCCAGGGACCCACCACCAGGATTCCCCACAACCTGCCCCACCGGGTCCCTTGTTGAGCCACACATGTGGAGGGAGTCAGGCCTGGGTGACACAGCAGGGCTGGCAGAGACCCGGGGTGGAAGGCCCTTACCGATCTGGTCGCTGTAGTGTGTGTACTGGACGTGGTCAGGGAACGGTGGCAGCGGGTCCAGGTCATACTGGCCCTGAGCCAGCAGGCCTGCAATGGGAGGCAAGGCATGTGGGGGTGCCCCAAGGGGGGGACAACAGGGGCCCTGAGGTGCTCTGGGGAGGGGCGGTGGGGGTCACCCTGGACCTGCATCACCTCCCTGACCGTTCCCTGCCCCGTCCCCCTCGCTGGCTGCCCTCAGGACTCAACATGCTCCTGTCTGCTGCTGGGCCTTTGCACTTGGCTCTCCCTGGGCCTGTGACACCTGGTCAGCTTCTCCTTCAGGTCTTAACTGAAACCACGGCTCTCCGGGGACAGGTCCCTGGCCCACCATCTTCCTGCTGGTGTCCACCCAGCACCCAGGCAGTCTGCAGTGCATCGTGTCTACTTGTTCAGTATCTGCCTCCTCGCCCTAGAGGGCCAGCATGGGGAGGGCAGGGATCTGTCTGCCTAGTTCACTGCTGTTTCCCCAGGGCCCAGCCCAGTGCCTGGCACATAGTAGGAGCTCAACACTTATCTCGTGCATGAATGAATGAATGTTAGACACCTCAGGACCTTTGTGATGCTCACTGATATCTCATTTGGCCAATAGGGACCCCTTTGGGGTCAAGAATGTACAGGGTGGGAGGGCCCCAAACAGGTCTCCAAGCCAGGCCTCGGACTCCCCGCCAGGGGTGCTCCCTGCTTCTTCCCCCTGCTCCCAGGAGGGGCAGTGAGCAAGAGGAAAAGCGTGGATTTCTGATGCCCAGGGTGTGCCCACTCTCTGGGAGGCGGGGGGGGGGTGTAGGCCCAGGAGATGCCAGACAGCCAAGCCAGTGGCCCTGGTGGCTGAGGAGCTGAGTTTGGCCACAGAGCATGACAAAGGCTCACTGTGGGCTCCCCTCCACGAACCCCACTCCCACCCCACATGAGGGGAGCTACCCCTTGCCCCAGGAGTCACGTACCAGGCAGGAGGAGCAGGAAGAGGTAGGCAGTTCTCATGGCCACGGAGAGCGGCAGGCCGGGGTGGTGTCAGAGGACAGCTGGAGGAAGGGGAGTGGGGGAGCTGTGTCCAGGCCCATGGACCCAGGACCACAGAGCCCATTTCTGGTGCCCTGGATTCAGCCTGGAGAAGCAGGCCCCCCGAGCAGAAGCCAGGCATCTGGAAGGCTGGGGGGTCTGGGGGTCAGGACTACTTTAGAGGGACAGCTGGCCCATGTAGGTGGTTGGGTCACAAGGGACAAGGCCTCCAACCTGGCTCCAGGGCTGACAAACAGACCCCATCCTGCCCTTGACAAACAGACCCCACCCTGCCCTGATCACTGAGGGACATTTCTAATGCTCTGCCAGCCCTGATCGTTCTTGCCCCACCCACACCCATGCCCACCCCTCTGGCCCAGCACCTCCCCCGGTGTCCAGTGCCCTGACTATATGAGTCCCTGACCCCAGGCCCAGCCAGCATCATGGCCTGGGCTCAGCAGCCTGGGCCAAGCCCACCACCTGCTCCCAATTAGCCCCTGGGCCCTGAGCATCTAGCAAGGCAGGAAACCACGTGCACACGGCCCGGGGCCCCCAGGGCAGCCAGGCTGGGCAGGGCTCCCAGCCCCCAGAAGACTCCTCTCCTGCCAGGCCTCAGGCCTCCCAGGACCTGGCCGTCTTCACAGGCTCAGAGCCTGAGGTCTGTTCTACAGGAGGGAGCACTTGGAATGGAGTCTGAGGGGGGCAGCGCCAGAGGGGGCCATGATGTCACCAGCCCAGGCGTGCAGAACACCCTGACGCTGCAGGGCCAGTGATGTGTGTGTAATTTTTGGGAGAGGGCACTGGTGCACACTTTTCACCAGGTTCCCGGCGTTCCAGAACCCCTGGTGGAGTCCGGCCTCCGGTCTTGGCTGCACAGCGGACTTGGCGGAGCCGCCAGGTCCCCACGTCCGGTCCCAGCTCAGTGGAGGGCCACCTCCAGACCACTGGCTTTCTGCAGTGAGCCCTGTGAGGGCCAAGCCCAGGGGCTCACCCATCCAGGGGGGCCCCTCCCTGCCCCGACAGGGGAAGTTCTTCCAGACAGCTAACTGGAAACGCTAGCTTTGCTGTACTGCCCTCTGGGGACCTAGGACACGGGCCGAAACGTGGCCAGCGTCCCCCCTCCCACTCCTGAGACCTCCCTGACCCGTGCTGGGGCCATGCATCCAGCACCTCTGAGTGGGGGTGGGGTGGGGGAGCTGGGACTCAAGTTGCCCCAGAGGCAGGGGACATCTGGCTCCCCACACCCCACTCTGAAAACCCGGGGCCTCCTCCTGGCAAAGGGACTGGAGACCTAAAGATCCTTTCTTGCTGCCCCCCACACCCGCATGGTCAGCCTGGCCTGCGGGGTCTCAAGAAGTTGGGGTGATGCCTCTCAGTGCCCGCCATGGAGTGTTGCTCCCCCAGGACTGGCACCTGGGCCCAGGGGCTGGGCTGGGGTTGTAGAGAGGAGTCAGTGTGGGGAAAGGCCAGGGGACCACACCTCCAAGAGCTTCTAGACAAGGGGGTTTAGGGGTGTGGGGGTGGCCAGGACCTGCCCAGGAGGCTGCACCCCCACCTCGAGCCCCTTCCACAACTGCCTCCTTCCCCTCTCTGCATCCCAGGGAGGAGGGGAACAACGCCCGTCCTGGCTCAGACTGAGGGAGCGCTCTGCCTGCTCCAGAGGCCGGGCAGGGGGTGTCCCCGCAGGAGGAAACCAGATGTTGCAGCCGCACAGCTGGGAACAATCAGCCCGGAAACTTGCTGGGAGCTCCTAGAGCTCCACGGTCTCTGATCTCTCTTTGTCTCTCTGCGTCTCTGTCTCCGCCGCTCCCACAGGCCCCCACCCCACCCGCCACATTCCAGCCTCCCCCGAGACAAAAGCCGCCTCATCCCCGACGTCCCCACCGCTGCCCCCCCCAACTCGTGCTTCCTGCCCTTCCCAACTCGTGTCCTACCCCCAAAGCGACCCCAAACTTTTAGGGTGCCCCCTCGGCAGCTGCCCCCAGGATCCAGGGTCTGGAGAGGCCGGCGCCCCCCAAATCCTGGGGCCCCATCGACGTCCCTGCCTGCACCCCGAGTCCCCAGCCGCGAGCACCAGGCCCGCGCCTACCTGTCCGGGTCACTCCGCCGCCCGCTCCGAGTCTGCCCGCCAGAGCCGCCCCTGTGCCCGCTCCGAGCCCCCCTCCGGGCCCCCGACGGGCTGGCGCCCGCCCTCCAGCCCCGGATCCGCTGGGTCCTAACGCGAGCGGTCCGCCCAGGCCTCCGCGCCGCGCCCTCGGGGCTCCGACCCTCCTCTGCGGCCGCCCTGGGGGAGGAGGCGCCCGCCCAGCGGTGCGGCGTCTGTGCCAAGCGCTGCCTCCTCCTCACGTCGGGTCCTCACTCTATGCAACCAGGTGGGCCAGGTGGGTGACGTGGGTGTGCCACCCCATTGCACAGAGGGTGACACCGAGCTTCCCAAGCTGTCACCCAAGGCCACTCAACAGACAGTGAACCTTGCTCACCCTCTGGATTGTCCCAGCTTCCAGGACACCCTCCCTGGCCTGGTTTCCCTCCTGCCTCCCCAGTGGAGCCTCCCTAGCCAGCTCCTCCTCCTCCTGCACCCCAGAGCTTGGCGCCAAAGCTGGGCTCCTAACCAGCATGGCCTTCAGCCCCTACCAGGCCCACGTGCCCCACGAGTGTCCCCTAGGCACATCTGACTCAACAAGCATCCAAGCCCAAATTCACAACCTCCTCACCCTCATCCAGACCTGGCCCTGGAGGTATTCCCAGGCCCAGGAATTGTCCCACTGGCCTTCCAGCACCCAGGCTTGCTCCCCTGCCCTCAGCCCCCCATCCAGCCCAGCGCCCAGCCGCCCAGTCCACGTCCCAGATACCTTCGGAGTCTGTCCACCGCGCCCGCCCTGCCTAAGCCCTTGCGGAGCTGTGTCACCGTGCTTGCCGGCAGAGCCCGACCCTGTGGCTGAGCGCAGCCCTCAGGAAGAACGCCCTGAAGACCTTACGCGGTAGGGACAGGTCCCCGCTGCCCTCGCTTGAATCGCTGCGTTTAGAAAAGGTGAGTTCAGTGATCCTGGCCCTTGCTGCTTCCTGTACAGAAGATAACATGGCAGGGTTGACAGCTATGCCTCTGTGTCCCCTCAGATGTACCCTCGCACCCAAACTGGGATGAGATTTTGCTCTAATGTGACTTCTGCACCTGCAGAGCCCCCACCCCCCCACACACACCTGTACGTCAGCTGTGGGCCGGAACATCGCTCCCACAGAAACACTCTGAAGCTCCCGGCTGCAATCTTCACTAAGGCTCCGAATGAAACTGGCTTTAATTCTTCAAAAGCCTGGTTTTCTTTAGCTTGCACCACCAATCATCTCCTGCCTGGCTCTGTGCCAGCCCCCGGTCTGGGCCTTCCCCCACGGGCCCTGCCCTCCCCACCCCCCTCAGATTATGGACACTTTCACTGGCTTCCAAGGGGCCGAGGATCAGGATTGAACTCACCGGTGGCCTCCGAGGACCCTGCCCTGCACTGTGGCCTGGCTCTGCCACCGTGTCCTCCTCCAATCATGGTGACTTCTTGGCAGTCTGTCACTTAACCTCTCCCCCTTCCTGCCACAGGGCCTTTGCCTAAGCTGTTTCTCTGGGAACACTGGCTGAGTCTCCATGTGGACACAGATCAAACCCTCCCTTCCTCAGGGAGCCTTCCCTTTCTCCTCCTTACCCGCTCTTGGGCGTTATTATTCACGGCTGTCTTACCCTGTGTCTGTGACTGTTTGAATTCTGTCCCCTTTCCCGCTGAGCCTGTTGGCCCCAGGCGGGCTCTGATGAGGTCTGTTTTTGCTCACTGGGCACAGCGAAGGCACATGCAGGCTCGGAGCAGCAGTCCAGCAGACGTTTGTGTGATGAATGAATGAGCTGTGCACTCGGTTCTCCTGGGAGAGACTAGCTGGGTGGTGGGGGGGGAGCTCCCCTGTCTCTTGGGCAGCCCTCAGCCCTGCCTGGCCATGGAGCCCAGGCCTGAGGCAGGGGTGAGTTGTGGGGGCTACAGGGTGGGAGATCAGGATGCTTCTGATTTAGACCCTAGGTCTTTGATTTCCTGCCTCCCCTGTAGAGTCTGAGTCCTTTTTATTTGAGGCAGAGTCTCGCTTTGTCACCCAGGCTAGAGTGAGTGCCGTGGAGTCAGCCTAGCTCACAGCAACCTCAAACTCCTGGGCTCAAGCAATCCTCCTGCCTCAGCCTCCCAAGTAGCTGGGACTACAGGCATGCGCCACCATGCCCAGCTAATTTTTTCTATATATATATCAGTTGGTCAATTAATTTATTTCTATTTATAGTAGAGACGGGGTCTTGCTCAGGCTGGTTTCGAACTCCTGACCGCAAGCAATCTGCCCGACTCGGCCTCCCAGAGTGCTAGGATTACAGGTGTGAGCCACCACGCCCAGCCGAGTCTGAGTCCTTTAAAGCAGTGCTATGTCTTGCACATCATTTGTTCCCCGGTGCTGGTTTGTGGAATGAATTTTTGCCCACTCCCTGTGCCTTCTGCAGCATGGCAGGGACTTCTGTCACCTGGAGACAGTGGGCCCTCCAATCAGCCCAGCCCTCGCTGCTTCCTGTGGTTTGCTGCCAGGTGCAATCCTATTGGGAGAGGATAGGAAACTGCCCGGCAGAAATGCTGTCCCCTATACTTGACAAAAGGGGGAAACTGAGGCTCAAAAGCTGCCAACTCCAATGTCCAGGTTCCTGTATCCTCTCTTTTGCTCCTGCCCACTCCCCTGGCCCTAGGGATCCAGGGACAAGTGGCAACTCTTTGGGCAGGTGGGGGACAGTGGGCGTGGTCACTCTTTTGTCATGTGCTCCTTCCTCTGCATGGTGAGCTGCACGCCAGCCGATGTGTTTCTGCTCACCTCATTAGCCCCTGGTGCTGGTACATGCCTGCCAATAGATTCCTGAATAATCGGCTAAGGGTAGAGGAGGGACTCAAACCCAGGACTCTGTGTCCTCCCCTTAAACAGCATCTACCACCCTGGTCTGTCGCTGGCTGGTGATGCAGTGCCTGACACCACACCTTCCCACACCCCACATCCCTTCTCCCCAGCTTGATTCAACGTCCACAGAGCTCCTTTGCCATGCAGGCCTGCGGGCAGCACCAGGCTTCCGGGAATGAGGTTGGCCGGGCCTTTGGAGGGCAGGAAACAGCCTTTCTTTCCTGTTCTCCCTGCCCAGATGAGCCAGATGACCGAGCCGCATCTCCAGAGCAGAGGGGCTTGGCCGGTGGCCCACTGGCGGGATGAGCTCAGAGGCTCCCACCCTTCCCCGGGGGATGGTGCACGTGGTTCTGGCTGGGAGAAGTGGGCTCAGAGCCTGGATTTTATCTGAGGGAGGAACCGGACCCAGACATGTCCCAGGAAGTGAGGGTGGCGGGGGAGGGGAGAGGTGGAAGAGAAGGGAACCTCTCCCCCACGCCCCACGGCCTCCCCAGCAAGCCCACTGCTCCCCTCCCCCCAGGGGCAAGAGCCTGGAAGCTGGAGACAAAGTGATCTGGTCCCACCTCTGACTACTTGTGTGACCCCTAAGCCTCGGTCCCCTCATCTGTAAAATGGGGATGGTAGCCTGCAGTCGCTGGAAGGATTACATGACAACACGTACAAAATGCTAAACAGAGGAAATTTATTACTGTCAGATGAGGAAATGGAGGCCCCAGAGGGGAGGTATCCAGTGTGATCTAAAAACAGGGGCTGGCAGCTGGGGACCTGGGAGGGTCTTGGGCGCCAGGTACGAGACAGGCAGGGCCACGCCAGGAAGATACCGTGACTTTATCTGCTACACTGACAACGGCTCTGAGTGGAGTTGGTGGCTGCCATGCCTACATGGGGTGGTCTCTAGAGGGGAGGACAGCCGGCTCTTCCCTCAGGTGGGGGCGGTCTTGGGGCAGGAGTGTGACAACGCCCACCTCGGGGCTGCGGGAGGAGGCCATGGCGGTGGTGTCTCTGGACAGGGGTCGGGGCGGCTCAGAGGCAGGGCGATCCAGTGTCTAGTGGGCTGGGCAGGCCTGCACTACCTCACGGCGCCGGCGGGCAGTGGCGGCCAGGGCTGCTCCGCGAGCTCCCGCTCCAGCTGCTTGAAGCGCTTCTTGGAGGCCCGCTTGGGCCGCAGCCGGCGCAGGCAGGCCGGGAGGCACTGGTCCAGCACGCTCTGCGGAGGGCAGGGACGGAGTGGTGGGGGTGGCTGGGGCGCCGAGCCCCCTCCCTCCCACTGCTGCAGGCCGGGGCGGGCCCCACCTCCAGCATGAAGGCCGCCACCAAGTTGAAGGCGACCAGGCCCAGCAGGAGCAGCTTGAAGTGGGTGTCGGCGATGCTCCTCAGCGCCAGCGGCCCCTGCAGGAGGCCGGGGACCAGGATGAGGCCCACCAGGACAGAGCTCAAGAGCGCCAGGGCCACCAGGAAGGGCACTGGGGGTAGGGGTGTCTGTCAGCCAGAGAGCCGCATGCCCGGGACACATGCACACATGCCCTCCACCCACAGAGCCCCCACCTCTCCCACTTGCCTCCCCCCGGCCCCCCACGCCGCAGCACCGTTGGAGTAGAGCGGCCGGCGGAAGGGCGCCCCCTTGGACATGGCCGCGGCCAGGATGAGGTACTGGAAGCTGGACAGAGAGAAGACCACTGTGTTCTCGTAGTTGGGGAGGTTGTCCGGTGCAGGCACTGTCCTGTTCAGGGGTACAAACCTGGGGGTGCAGGGACGGGGGTCAGGGAATGAGCGTGGGCTGGACGGGGCAGGGGGACGGGGCTGGCCAGCTCCCTACTCACCACGGCTGGGCTACGGTCAGGAAGTAGCCCCCCAGCTGCACACCGGCCACTAGGGCCACCTGCAGCAGCAGGCTGCTGAGCACAGGCACGCTGAGCAGGGCCCCCGGTGGCCGCACCCGCCCCAGTGCCAGCGCCGGCCCCGTGCGACTCATGAGCACTGCCACCGTGGTGGTGATGACCAGGTCGATGGCCAGGAACTGCACGTCGCCTAGGTTGGTGTTGATCTGCCGCAGGGGAGGGAGGACAGAGGGGAACTGTGACCTGGCCCTAGCCCAGCCCCAGGGAGCCTCTTGTCTAACAGCGGAGGCCCCGGCCCTGCCCTTAAGGAGTCCGATGGGGGAGGTCCCCTGCCCCGGGGGAGCCTCCAGCCCGCGCCAGGCATGAGACAAGCCCCAGCCTGATGAGG